CGGTTGGGTACACCTGCATCCTAGTATGATCTTGTTCCCGGGACCAATCGATTAAAAACACCAGAACATTATCCACTAAGCTACCAGGTCATTATGGCTACTTCTTGTGCGACAGGTATAGTATGGTATTGGTGCTTTATCTTGTAATTTTCCATCGTTGATTAAATTAGGCTGATCACCCACTATCATCATATGGGCTACTGTACAGATGCCTTGATATTAAAAATATTTTTGGTTTTATATCAGTGAAACCTACAAGTTTGATGGAATGGATGAATCATTCTTCGTCTAAGATGGATTGGTTTCGTTTTGGTTTTTGAAAAAGACTGAAATATGTTTGTTCATGCCTGTAATCGTTTTCGCCCAAAAAATTTATAGGGTGTCTTCCCATCCTACTCCTTTCATCAAGGACAGAGGATGCAAGTTCATGATTGTAAAGTTCACCACCTTCTGTACGAAAACTTGAATAACATGAAAACTGGATGTATTCTTCAGATGAACGATGATTTTCAATTTAGAGGTAGTATTCATCACGGACTGACATCAGTTGAGGAACGATTGAAAATCTGAGAGCACTGGACAGCAGTTTCATCCTTGTTTGGGACTCCTCACCAGTACGCACCCTAAAACCAACTACGGATCCAACTCAGCACCTTCAGGTTTCACGGAAAACACCTCAAACATCCAGCCATTGGGTCGGTTTTCAGTGGTTCACAATTTCTGTTCCAACTTCCGTCAATTCACGATATAGTGAGACTATCAACCAATTGACATCCACTTCCCTTTCAGTGCTCCCAGATTTTCAGTGGTTTCCCAACTAATGTAAGTTTGTGATGAATACTACCTCTAAATTAAAAACCCCAATTCGCCCCAAAAATACATTAGGTTATTTACAGTTGGAATGTGCTTAGCTGGGTGCGTTCCGCTGAGGAGTCCCATACTAGGACAAAACAGCTGTGCAGTGCTCTCAGATTTACAATGGTTCCCCAAATGAACACTGAATATCAGATTCATACTCATGAAGAGGATCTTCCTAGCAAGATTGAAACATTGAGGAATCATACAAAATATTTGTTTATTCTGTTATCTGTTCTTATATGCTACGCCGGGATTACACCTTATACAATGAAATTTGAAACGCTATTAGGTATTTTTGAGGAATTCATTGTTTTCAGTTTGGTATTCGTCACATAGTGACATCAGTTGGAGAAGCATTGGAAATTTGAGGGCACTGGACAGCTGCTCCATCTTAGTGCGTGGTTCTTCAGCAGTGGTCACTGGTAACTACCTTCGAGATAAAATTCCACGAAGTTCTAATGCAAAGTCGTGAACAGTAAGAAGAACCAAGTCGGATATGAAAGCAAATACTCAACGATGACACTGGATGATGGTTTCGCTGTAACACGGATTGGCGGAAGTAGTGAAATATGGGTCAACGGACGCCCCAATGGCTCAGTGGAAATATGCTGGCTATGAAGTCTGACGATACCAGGTTTCGTCCATGGCATCCGCAAATGTGCATAATGCCGAGGAATCCTGTGCTAAAACGAAAGCGTTGTCCAAAATCATGTGTAAATGTGTAAATACCACATTGTTTTGTACATACTTCAACCATCTGCCACTGCGCCGTAATTATGTTGCCTTTCGAACTTGAAGAAATTCGGGGCATGAATCAGATAACTAGTTGTCAGTGCTTATTTATGTATTATATTATTACTATTTGTCCCTTGGGCTCCTAGTAGAATGTAGGGATTCAGTAGCACGTCTCCATTCCACTCTCTTCTCTCAAATCTTTTCAACCTGGCTCCACGACAGCCCACAAGCTCTCATTCCCTCCTCGCACAATCTCCTCCATGTCACCCTCGCCCCAGACGCCAACTCATCGCCTCCCATCTGGGTTCCACTCGAGAAATTCGCCTGACGCGTGATGTCCCCAGTCAACCTACTCAGTGTACGCTCAATCCATCTCCCCTTCCTGCTACTGCATATTTGTTGGACGATGTTCCTGCTTAGTTGGATCCTTACCAGTCAGCCAGAGTTCAGTTCCTTGTTGCTCATTCTTTCTGGCAATTCACCTGATCTTCAGTGACGAGCCAGCATAGGCAGTTGATATGAATGTGTGTAGTTTGTTGGAAGTTGCTTTCGTAATGCGCCAAGTCTCTGAGACATACAGAGGCACTGATTTCACGTTGGTGTTGAAAATCTGGATGTTGTTGACGCTGTATGCTGAGTGCAATGCAGAAGATCTCCACACTGGTTTCAGGTTAATCAACGCCTGTCTTGCTGGCTTTTCTGATCCTGGCTGGCTTTGACGTGCTCGTCAGTGTTGCCTGTGCCGCCTGTGGTTGAAACAGTGCTGCCTAGATAGGTGACAGAGGCTACTTCCTTTGAGTTTCTCCCGTTGATGGTGATTGGAGATTGCTGTTGTTGTTGTTGTTGGTGGTGGTGGTGTTGGTTGGGTATATTCATCACCTCTGTCTCCCCTATATTCACTTCTACGCTCTTCTCATCGGTTCAGCGTATCCCCTCTTCTCGCCCCTCACTGTTTCCTGCATGATACAGTCGAGTCGACCACTATCAGGAATATCATGGGTGATAGTAAGCGACCTTGTTTCGCTCCTGTCTTCATTTCAAAAGCATCACTGAGCTTCCCAGTGTGAATTACTTGGCATGTGGCGTCTTCATATAGTTGTTGAATGAGGCGGATAAAGATTTGTGGTACTCCGTAGTGTTGCAGCAGTTTCCATATTACCTCTCGATCGACGCTGTCAAAGGCATTTTCAAAATCGATGAAGTTGAGGTGTAGAGTTGACTGCCATTCTATACTCTCTCCTATGATGATAATATCGAGGCGTGGCTATTTGGTCGGCACGTGATTTGTAATTTCTGAGGCCTGCCAGCCTGTTTCGGTCGTAGTTTTGAATCCAGCACATCCTTTAGTCTCTCCAGGATGATACGGCATAATATTTTGCTTGAGGTGGACAGGAGCGTGATTCCGCGCCAGTTCTCGCAAAAACTTAGGTCGCCCTTCTTCGAGAGTCTGACAAGGCAGTCCTTCTTCCAATCAATTGCCATGTATCTTTCCTTCCTTTCAGACCTCCTGCAATAGTGGTGTGGTGTGAGCATGTCCTCTGTTGTCTCTGCCTCTGTTCTCAGTGCTTCTGGTAGGATCCCATCTGGTCCTGTTGCTTTCCCGCATTTCAGTAGCTTTATGGCGCTCAAGACTTCCACTTTTGTTGGAGGATTTGTGTTCACTTGTAGTTCTGTGACTGCAGGTGGTATTTCTGGACGAAGTGCAGGTGGTGGTGGTGGTGGTGGTGGTCGATTCAAGAGCTTCTTGAAGTGGTCGGCTCATCGTTTCCTTTGTTTCTCTTCTTTGGTAAGTAGATTTCCGTCATCATCTTTCATTGGTTTCGTCTGCGTTGATCTCTTTCTTTGCTGATAGTAACCTGGTTATTTGATACAATGTTGTCAGGTCTTTCTTACCAGCCTGCAGCCTGTTCTGCTTCACTTGCCGTTGTTTCGTGTTTATGGATTCAACAAAGATTTACCATTGACTACTGACGTACTTTGCGAAATATATTTCATAGAATTGAAATTGTCTAGCACTTATTTCTAGAAAACATGAAGTTGGTTATCTTTCAATGATCACGTAGTGTTTACAATCCAGTTTTACAGGAAGTCACTCACCACCCGAATAACTCAGTGACCACATGTCTAACTGCAGGATTGAATCACGCCAATTCGAATCTCTTACAATATGATCTTTCCAACTTAAGGAAGGTGAAGCTAGTGATATCTTAACAATTAGAAACAACCCACATTGCTGTGCATATTCCATAGACCAGATTAGAGTGATGCTGTTACTGGGACACTTTCTCCACAGTTCACCACCGGGCTCATAATCAGTATACTGGATTGAGTTTGTTTGATAGAGATGACCTTTTTTAAGTTCATTAAACTAACCATTGTCATCTGGTTATCGTAAGTTATAGAATAACATCGATAGTGGCTCACTGTTTATGTCAATCAATAGTATATTTTTTAGTTTGATGACACTTGTGCGCTGCATCACGGTCTGCTATCTTGAAGTGATCGAGTGGAATAAGACGTAGGTAATAACGATACTGAATGCAGTGTTACACTTGAACTGAATGCCAATATGGCTATTCCGCCTCAGCACCTTATTCTTCACTGAGTCATGCAAATATCAAGTGACTAAGGGTAATCTGTGACTGCCAAGACGACGACTCTATTCGATAAACTGCAGCATATATATACAACTCCCACACACATAAGAAATGTCCTTTACTAAATATTGAATAACACAATCTTATTGGCTACCGAATCGTCCAATAAGGTTCTTTTGTCCATATGTAGACATAAATCAAAATCTGAAACGAAAAAGACTTCCCCCCTAACGGCTGATGACCTTGAATAGTGATTATCATACTTGGCCACTTCCTGTGATATCCTGACTAAAGAACCGTCAAGGAAGTCCTTGTTGAAATAGCAATTAAGCAGTTGCCAAGTCACTCGACGGTGAGTAATGACGATGTTGACCTAGGAATTCATGAATAATTTAAGAACAGATTATTCACATAACTGTGCTGCAGTCACGAATGTAATTCCATCATGTGGAACAGGGGGTGAGATCAAAACGTGGGGACCCTAACACATTATAACTCATATTTCATAAACACTCACTGATATTAAGTGACCAGTTTACTGAACAATTAAGTGATTGTAACACAAACTTCACGTCTGACCTGAAAACAGAAGTAAAAGCCTTAGAATTTAAACCAAAAACAGGTTGGTTGTGCATGTCTTGAAGTGTGAAGTTAGTTTTCTTTAGGGTGTTTGTTAATTCTTGACTGAGTACCAATTTAAAATGAAACGTTTTCCAACTTATCTGCCTCCTCATTAGTGCCACTTTTTTCATGAATTTATGCATTTGATCTGTTTCCTTAACTCTACTATCAACAAACTTTTCTAATTAGAAATTAAACCGTTCAGAAGTTGGGCATATCCAAGCCGATTTTCCAAAGTGTGGTAACTGTGAATATATGAAGAACCAATTGAATGTCTATATCTATATGTATGGCAAATTAAGTGAACAAAATCTCTGCGATGTGCCAGATAGGTGTAATTCAGATGAAGGTAGGCTGAAGTCAGCATATTCAATAAAACGTTATTTAATCAACTCAATTTGATTTAGATGCAATGGAGGAGAGAAGAAATAGCTCATCGGCTAGAAGTAAATTTGAAAGACAAGATCAGGTAAGTATTGGTTAGAACTTGAAAATACTTTAGGCTTGAAATACATACTACTGTAAAGAAAAAAGTAGCCTAAAAAAGCAATACGAATTAATACTGCTCAGTTGGCAGTGTAATTTTACAGGATCATGGTTGAATAAAGTCCTTTCATTAGATGTGAGGCAGTACTTTCAGAACAGATAGGAAATATTATTGAACTCTTTGAGTGTCTGAATGATTCCAGAATTTAGCAATTACAATAAACTGTTACACATACTAGTTTGTAGTGTAAGGGTAGAATTTAGGAACTATGGTAGCAGTCGAGTCCATATTAAATTATTTTAATTGCCACAGTATTCATCTATACAGTGTTACTCAACAGACAAAAATCGTAGTACACTTCGTCCGCCATCTTTTAACAGAGGTTGACTCAGTATACCAAAAAGAAACTACAAGCACCAATAAACAGCACCTGCTTTCTCTGTAGAATTTAAATTAATGTCTCTGGATGACTATCACTATCAATTCGTAAGTTACCAGTCGAATGCAAGGAAAATTTCTGCTGGGAATCATTTGAATTACCTGCTTAGGAATAAGGTCGTTATGACAGATAGGATTATAATTATTATCAGTGAGTTCTACTACTTAAATTGGATGGCTAGTAGTGATAGGACAGAAAATACTAAGAAACAGCTATAAGTTTTTGAAAGATTGAAACACTTAGATTCATCCTTGAAGAGGGCCTAGGAAACTCTTCAAAAAATCACTGTTTCAATGTTTGGCGAGTAAAATTTACCAAACGTGTATAAAAATAGAATGTCATTTTGGATGGAACACAACCAGACAAATTGACGTACGATCCTGGATGAAATTCCATCTATCCTAGTTGGTCAACTACATAGCATTACAGAAATTAGGAGGGGACTAACTGACAGAATCTACATAGAGCCTCACACACAACTGAATCCATCCAGAAGTATGCAAAGAAAAGGTGGATAGGAAAGGAGTGATATCAAAGTGGACAAAGTTGTATGAGAGAATGAACAATTTGGAGATAAAGGTGAGAGAGATATTCAAGTTTTAGATGTCAAGGAGTGAATGAACCTGCCCTTTTGCGATCGATTTTCATCCTTGTCATCAAGAGTCTTCAACCACTGGTTATTTTTATCTCGAGGATCCCAACCAGGCAGTCTTCATTTTCGCATACGGATTAAGCCAACAGTCAGGGAATTCATCGACTGATGCCAGGTCTTGATCTGGCCACCCTGAACCCTCTTCAAACCTAATCCAACTTCCTCTAGCATGGCACGTCGAGACAGGTGGTGGCTCGGCATGCACGGTACGTGTCCAAACCATCTCAGTCGACTAAGCTCCATAACGTCATCAATCGACTTGTCTATATTGCCTAGTACCTTTCGCCTTATAATTCCACTCCATGCCAGCAATGCTAGGAAGATACCTATACTTGTAAAACAGTAATTGTTTCATGTCTCTTAACGGCCATTTCTCACAGCCTTACAACAGGAAAGAAAGGATTGCAGTGTAGTATACTCGTCCTTCGATAGATATCCAGATATCTCACCGAAACCACAGGGGATACAGGTTGGGAAATGCCAAACTGGCTTTTTGTATCCAAGATGAGTTTTCGTCAGCAACCTGTCAGGCCATTTGAGTTGATGCAACTCCCCTCTATTGTGTGTGGGCTAATCACACTACCTGGATGCTTGAACAAACATTGGTGACACGGAGCTCGAACCCTCAATCCAATGATTGATGATCAATCCCCTTAATCAATGAACCATATCTTCCCTGAGAAAGAAAAGTGTGACGGTAGTATTAGGTTAAAAGCTTTGCATTCTAATTTGTAAATTCGCTTCTAAAGATTCATAACTATACTTGTGATAACATTTCATTTTTATAAGTCTCCAAATGAAGAAAAAGAAACCAATGAAAATTCGGTGAAATCTCAATCAGATTATTCATCATCTGGATGTATCAACACAAACGAGTACTGTACTACTGCTAATAGAAGTATAAAAACTGCTGACCAGCATGGCATTGATAGTGTACGGTAAGATATTGTTTTCTGTATTTTTCTGTTGTACTGTGATACATTTCCTTCCTTATTTTCATGTCACTGGATCATTTACTTCATAGACAGTTACGAAAGGGCTTTATCTTTGGATTCGGAAACACCATAAATAGTGGTAAGTACATAAATAAGCAACCTCGTCTGGTTAACTAGTTCACTAGTTACTAGCTGGTCCTAAGCCCGAGTAAAGAGGGAAGGTTGGGCGTAGGGCTAGCAAACCTACCCCGAAAAATCAATCCAATCGATAAACAAACTTCAAACTACAAACAAAATATAAAAAACAAAAACGAAACCCATTCCTCGCTGGAATCGAAGAGGCGAAATGATGCCAGTTGGTGAAAGCCTTGGGGAAGTTAGTCAGCCGATGTGTCTTCTCTACCCTCGATGAAAGCGAAAGTAAACGTGGGTACATTGAATGTCCGCACCATGTTTGAACCCAGACACCTGGACACACTGCACTAAAAATCAGATCGACTTTATCTCAATGTGAAGAGAGTGGAGACGCAGCCAGCATACTGGACACAAGATCACGAAGACGGGCAGATGTAGGTTCACACCACTCACTATCTTGTCCAAGGAGCTTACCTTCAATATCAAGTTGAAAGCCTTCAAGGTGGTTGATGATAGACCACAGTTCAAGTTCAAGTTGAACACGGAGAACAGAAAGTGGAGGACGAAACTACAAAGGAAATCTTCATGGCAGCCATCAAGACAAAATGGGAGATATTGAGCAACATCCTTGTAGAAACCTGTGTGGATGAGCACTGAAATTCTTTGAAAGAGATATGGAAAGAAGCCTGCATAACCGCATTAGGAGGGAAGGAGAAAAAAGATAAGGAATGGATCTCGGTGGATACATGGAAGCTGATAGAAGAGAGGAAGATGGTGAAACAGAAGATACACCAGTGCAAGGATGCTCAACGACAAGAGGAACTGAATACAACCTATAAAACACTGCACTAGACAAAGAAGTGAAGAAAAGTGCACACAAAGACAAAAAACACTACGACACATTGGCAAGTGAAGCAGAACAGGCTGCAGGCTGGTAAGAAAGACCTGACAACATTGTATCAAATAACCAGGTTACTATCAGCAAAGAAAGAGATCAACGCAGACGAAACCAATGAAAGATGATGACGGAAATCTACTTACCAAAGAAGAGAAACAAAGGAAACGATGAGCCGACCACTTCAAGAAGCTCTTGAATCGACCACCACCACCACCACCACCACCTGCACTTCGTCCAGAAATACCACCTGCAGTCACAGAACTACAAGTGAACACAAATCCTCCAACAAAAGTGGAAGTCTTGAGCGCCATAAAGCTACTGAAATGCGGGAAAGCAACAGGACCAGATGGGATCCTACCAGAAGCACTGAGAACAGAGGCAGAGACAACAGAGGACATGCTCACACCACACCACTATTGCAGGAGGTCTGAAAGGAAGGAAAGATACATGGCAATTGATTGGAAGAAGGACTGCCTTGTCAGACTCTCGAAGAAGGGCGACCTAAGTTTTTGCGAGAACTGGCGCGGAATCACGCTCCTGTCCACCTCAAGCAAAATATTATGCCGTATCATCCTGGAGAGACTAAAGGATGTGCTGGATTCAAAACTACGACCGAAACAGGCTGGCAGGCCTCAGAAATTACAAATCACGTGCCGACCAAATAGCCACGCCTCGATATTATCATCATAGGAGAGAGTATAGAATGGCAGTCAACTCTACACCTCAACTTCATCGATTTTGAAAATGCCTTTGACAGCGTCGATCGAGAGGTAATATGGAAACTGCTGCAACACTACGGAGTACCACAAATCTTTATCCGCCTCATTCAACAACTATATGAAGACGCCACATGCCAAGTAATTCACACTGGGAAGCTCAGTGATGCTTTTGAAATGAAGACAGGAGCGAAACAAGGTCGCTTACTATCACCCATGATATTCCTGATAGTGGTCGACTCGACTGTATCATGCAGGAAACAGTGAGGGGCGAGAAGAGGGGGATACGCTGAACCGATGAGAAGAGCGTAGAAGTGAATATAGGGGAGACAGAGGTGATGAATATACCCAACCAACACCACCACCACCAACAACAACAACAACAGCAATCTCCAATCACCATCAACGGGAGAAACTCAAAGGAAGTAGCCTCTGTCACCTATCTAGGCAGCACTGTTTCAACCACAGGCGGCACAGGCAACACTGACGAGCACGTCAAAGCCAGCCAGGATCAGAAAAGCCAGCAAGACAGGCGTTGATTAACCTGAAACCAGTGTGGAGATCTTCTGCATTGCACTCAGCATACAGCGTCAACAACATCCAGATTTTCAACACCAACGTGAAATCAGTGCCTCTGTATGTCTCAGAGACTTGGCGCATTACGAAAGCAACTTCCAACAAACTACACACATTCATATCAACTGCCTATGCTGGCTCGTCACTGAAGATCAGGTGAATTGCCAGAAAGAATGAGCAACAAGGAACTGAACTCTGGCTGACTGGTAAGGATCCAACTAAGCAGGAACATCGTCCAACAAATATGCAGTAGCAGGAAGGGGAGATGGATTGAGCGTACACTGAGTAGGTTGACTGGGGACATCACGCGTCAGGCGAATTTCTCGAGTGGAACCCAGATGGGAGGCGATGAGTTGGCGTCTGGGGCGAGGGTGACATGGAGGAGATTGTGCGAGGAGGGAATGAGAGCTTGTGGGCTGTCGTGGAGCCAGGTTGAAAAGATTTGAGAGAAGAGAGTGGAATGGAGACGTGCTACTGAATCCCTACATTCTACTAGGAGCCCAAGGGACAAATAGTAATAATATAATACATAAATAAGCACTGACAACTAGTTATCTGATTCATGCCCCGAATTTCTTCAAGTTCGAAAGGCAACATAATTACGGCGCAGTGGCAGATGGTTGAAGTATGTACAAAACAATGTGGTATTTACACATTTACACATGATTTTGGACAACGCTTTCGTTTTAGCACAGGATTCCTCGGCATTATGCACATTTGCGGATGCCATGGACGAAACCTGGTATCGTCAGACTTCATAGCCAGCATATTTCCACTGAGCCATTGGGGCGTCCGTTGACCCATATTTCACTACTTCCGCCAATCCGTGTTACAGCGAAACCATCATCCAGTGTCATCGTTGAGTATTTGCTTTCATATCCGACTTGGTTCTTCTTACTGTTCACGACTTTGCATTAGAACTTCGTGGAATTTTATCTCGAAGGTAGTTACCAGTGACCACTGCTGAAGAACCACGCACTAAGATGGAGCAGCTGTCCAGTGCCCTCAAATTTCCAATGCTTCTCCAACTGATGTCACTATGTGACGAATACCAAACTGAAAACAATGAATTCCTCAAAAATACCTAATAGCGTTTCAAATTTCATTGTATAAGGTGTAATCCCGGCGTAGCATATAAGAACAGATAACAGAATAAACAAATATTTTGTATGATTCCTCAATGTTTCAATCTTGCTAGGAAGATCCTCTTCATGAGTATGAATCTGATATTCAGTGTTCATTTGGGGAACCATTGTAAATCTGAGAGCACTGCACAGCTGTTTTGTCCTAGTATGGGACTCCTCAGCGGAACGCACCCAGCTAAGCACATTCCAACTGTAAATAACCTAATGTATTTTTGGGGCGAATTGGGGTTTTTAATTTAGAGGTAGTATTCATCACAAACTTACATTAGTTGGGAAACCACTGAAAATCTGGGAGCACTGAAAGGGAAGTGGATGTCAATTGGTTGATAGTCTCACTATATCGTGAATTGACGGAAGTTGGAACAGAAATTGTGAACCACTGAAAACCGACCCAATGGCTGGATGTTTGAGGTGTTTTCCGTGAAACCTGAAGGTGCTGAGTTGGATCCGTAGTTGGTTTTAGGGTGCGTACTGGTGAGGAGTCCCAAACAAGGATGAAACTGCTGTCCAGTGCTCTCAGATTTTCAATCGTTCCTCAACTGATGTCAGTCCGTGATGAATACTACCTCTAAATTGAAAATCATCGTTCATCTGAAGAATACATCCAGTTTTCATGTTATTCAAGTTTTCGTACAAAAGGTGTGAACTTTACAGTCGTGCACTTTCATCGTAATGTGGACCATGAATTAGTGTATTGCAGTTGAGTGAGTAAGCAAATCGGTCAGAGAGCCTATTTTTAGTTGTTCGATTAAGGTAGAACAAAAATAGGGTGGGAAAATTCAGTTCGTGTAAGAAAAGTATAATGGGGTTTTCAGTCACCATGTCTGAGCAAGAAAATATCACTAGTTTAGAAGGATGACTATTTGAACAATAGACAGTATATAATAAATAAATAATAATGATGATGGTGGTAACGATTAAGGTACTTTTGTTAATGGTTGAACTATGAGTGATAGCAAAGTGGATTATGTTATATATAGAATGGTTTATAAGATGTACATAACTCAGAAAGGAAAGTAAAATTGATGAAAACAGTAGTCGATAAATACAACCAATACTTTTTTGCGTGATTAAAACAAACTTAAGCTGAATGACACCAGAAACTATTGAAATATGAATAAAGTCGGAATAAATGATGTGGAATGAAAGTATGTCTCACCTTCTCTTCATATATTACTTGCAACTGTTTATCGAGTCACTAATGTTTGCGATGTTTGTGGGATGTCTAACCCATCTTTTCTGTTGACCGAAGAAGGGTACGAACATATGTGCAAAGCTTCTGCACTGGTCCGCTCTTCGTGAGAAAAAAACCCTTTTGCAGGACTTTTGTCTTTGCAAATGATATTTTGTGACCTGAATATAAGACATGAACAGCGATGGCAGAGCTTTTTTCAAGTTTTTACAGATCACATGAATTTTCTGGTGGTTTCTTGCAACATCGACTGTGTTTGGCTAGACGTGTTAGTACTTGGCGTTATGTCTGTCCAATGTATGAGGCATCACATTTACTACAGTCTACTTTATAAACACAGTTCTGTAGTTTTAAATGCGGAATTTGATCTTTTAATTTACACAGGTGTGAGTGTATTGTATTCGTCACCTTAAAGAATACTCTAATGTTGAAACTATTAAGGATACGTCTTATTTCCTCTAATGTAGATGTTTGATAAGGAAGTAATGTAGTACTTTATGGCTTGGTTTTCCCGTTCATCGCTCATTGGGAGCAGGTGCATCTAGCTGACGAGTCCCAGGTGGGACGAAAATCGTGTCAAACTGGATTCCACTGGTAGTCACTATCTATCGTCTGAGCGTAAATGGGTTTAGATATTACAGCTTTTAATTACCCGTCGTTGACTGGACTGGCTTGATTCGCCAATAATGGCATATGGGCGTACATTCACTTGATAGTGCTTGAATAAGAAGAGCAATGGATCGTGGATTCTACTATCAGCCATCGTCAAAAGATAAATGGGTTGAAAAAGTAATCGACATTATTCAAGATCAAATAGTTAGTTTATACGGCCAGAGAAAAGTAGTACATATTGCTATCCCTTAGTATTAAAACTCACTTACCGAGTTCTGTTCAACGTAACAGAAAGTGGTTTTTGAACACATGGAAAGCTTTGAGCTTCAAAAAACTTTAGAATATGCTCCTAGTAGATTGGAAAAAACCTTACAAATCAACCTTGTGATTAGCTATAGACGAAATGGGACATATATTGCCCGGATCCATAGGATCATCTCATTTGATTTTTGATCGTGTCTGTTTTGAAATATGCTATATGGCACTTATTTGTATAAGTTGACTGATCTTCTCTGTATATATGTGATGGATGACTAAAATCTACTCTGGCTACTGTTAAAATAACCAACCAAGTTTGGCAATTTCCTCTTGTAGGGTAGTTTTGCATAAAATAGAGAAACGTAACTGGTTATCTTAGGGTGGCCTGTAAAGTCACTCTTATGTGACAGCATGTACATATAATTCACATTCAGTAAATCAAATAGTGCACAATAACACACAATTAGATCATCTCGAAATAAATATCTTTATACTTCATAAATTTTTGGGACAGGAACAATGAAGATTATGTCGCATCAAACCGTACGAATCACTCAGACAGTTCACATGACAATCAACAAGGTGAGCGGTTTATCAATATATATATTTAGATGCATAACCAACTTCATGAAACTGCTTTTAGTTTCTCCAATTATCTCATTATCTTCCTTTCAATTGTTCATTCCTTGTCGATATACCGCAAAAATGTTGGTGCAAACTATATCAGTTAGCCAGTTGAATACATAACAGTAGAAACTGTGTGGACGTCTGGATTCCGACCCAGTGGCTGAATGGTAACGTGTTGGCCAACGAACCTGAAGGTTCTGGGCTCGATCCCTGGCGAGGTGGGGCGGGGTGATGGACGCACGCTGCTGAAGATTCCCATACTGGTAGGACGAAACAGTTTTCTAGTGCTCGCAGGTTCCCGATGTTCTTCCAGCTGATGTCAGTCAGTGATGAATTTCAACCTAGGAACTGTGTTAGTTGAGTTTACATGAGGCAAATGAAGACTAGCCATGCATACTTATGGATATATATATATATATATATATATATATATATATATATATATATATATATATATATATATATATATATATATATATAAATTTATATCCAAGTTGAGGCGTTGTCTGGAGTCTTATCAGACAAACGCAGCGCTGTCATACTGGCTATCAAAATTAGTGCAGTCTCAAGAAGGTATTGATCGATTCAACTGTTCACTGACAATTCAAGCTGGTTGTTCAATGGTCCATACATTTACTATTCATTAGATATTATTTAAACGATTCAATGTACTTGAAGGTGTACATTTTCTGACTTCTTTCCTTAATAATCTATTCTATACATTACTCAATACTGTTTTGGTATTTCAAACTTGCCGTCGAATAGTAGTGATTAGAATGCCTTGTTATGAAAATAATTTGGAAAAGTAGATCATCTTTGACACATAACGGTTAGCCTCTGTGCAGCTGTACTGGATTAAAGCTAATACACCATCAAACTAACTTAGCGAAAACCGCGGTTGACGAGACCCACATGCTTAAAAACAGTGTTAAGGGTCTCCAAACTCGTGAGGATTCTACTCGTTTCATAGGGAGCAGTGCAACTATACGGTAAAGAAATTAGGCTTTCTAATTTCCGCAGTCATTGATATGTAAGCAATTTTTAAAGACCGGGATGTAGTTAACCTTGTGAAGTCTTAGCTTGAGTGTATATCAACAACGCCAGAGGAGCCACCAGCGCAAATTTGTTCGCTTTAGAGATGCACTGGTCAGGCTTCCTAGAAAAGTGTCTTTTCGGGAAGGTTGGGCTATATTCCTTCTGCAAGGCTATGAAATCTTCTATGAGATGTGTCCGACGCAAGTTTTCTCAAGGAGAGGTGAAGACAGTTAAGCGGTCCGAATACCCAGGGGATGTGTATGTGATGAATGAGTGAGGCTTTGAAAGAATACTGGTCAGTTTGAAGAAGTTTTAACATATTGCTCAGAACGGAGTATTCATTTTCATACTTTTCAGACCTGGGTTACTCGAATGTTCTCTCCTCTGCGAGGGACCTATTCTTCAGGCTTATTTTAGAACGTGCCGAGACCTGAAGACTGTTATGGAACTGGAAATAAGCAGAAAATTGGAGTAAAATATCAAAAATTACAACATAAAGTTTCAATGTACTACTGCTATTACCACTCTTTAAATCTTCACCTCTTTCTATCAGTATGATAGTAATGATAGTTTTAAACAAGTTGACAGTTAACTGTCAAAACAAAGGGAATCAGTTATGATTGCTTATTACTTGTTTCCTTTCGCCCTACAGATAATATCACCTCCTAGGTGTAAACCGCCTTCGAGGTAGTAGCAAATATTTATAGCTCAGAAGAAGGATTTTAGTGATGTTTTGTTCTTTCAGTTGGATGGTTTAATGAGGAAGCTTTTATTATCGTCTAATAAAACATTATCAGGATACACTTCAGAGAAAATCAGGCTAATAGAGTTTCTTGATGTTATTGTTTGATTTTCTGCTCCTGCTGATACATTGTCATTGTTTACATGAGTATTTGAATTTATTTTCTTGCTGAAATACTCTGTGAGTTTCTTGTTATTTTTCTCATCGGTTGACAGATTTGGTTAGTAATAATGCGTCTATTGATCATGAACTATCAGGAGTGTAAATTTTTTGGAAAATTTTCAATCTTTTTATTTTCTCCATACAAAATATAAAAGAAGGAAGTATTTTGAGAAATCTTTACCCTAGGTCATTTCTCGATCAGTAAAGCCTATTAACATTGACTCCATTTATACATCGATAAGAGAAATTGATGAGCAACAAGTAATTTAGTTGATGGTTTGCAGAGGTTGACTGGTTTCAAGATAGTATCCATCACATGAATCGATATGGGTTAAAAAATTATCGAAAACCTGCGATTACTGAACAGCTGTTTTGTTTCAATTCGGTATTCGTCAATGAAACACATCCACGACCTCTCAAAAGACTGAGATTAGGGCAATCAGGTCTTCCAGGTCCTTCAATTTTTCTACACCTTTGGTCTATCATATGGTATGATCGTCTTTCAGTGTCATCAGAGGGCATTCGCCTCACTTCATTCAAATATAAACCACGAGGAAATTTTCGAAAGTTTGAAGTTTTGATCTGTCAGACATATTGACACTGACTTAATTTATCCACCGACGAGAAACAATAGGGTCATATTTAATTTTAACAGGACAGTCAATCAAAGTATGAGTGCCTACAGTATCGTAGATCTTTTTCTCGAAATCTGAAACCTAAACGATTCATTGGTTCTTCAACTAACAAGACCAAATGCTTACGCATCATTTCCAAAAAGTAGAACTTGTCAGCAATACAGTAGTGTATTAATAAATAAATAACAAACAAGCAATGGTAAAATTGAATAATAATAATAATTAACAAATCACAAACCTTGAGTCGTAAGTTGTGCATGCGCTTTTTGCAATCAAAAGTGCTTTACAACAAAATAAACAACTGAACTGAGCGAACCACGATCGAAAATGTCGATAATATGTGGATCTGAAAAGTAGAATGAACAGTTTAAGAGAAACAAGCGTTGAAAGAGATATATAGCATCAGTGGAAAAGCCATAGGAAGCAGAATTTGGTCATGAAAAAAGAAAAAGGGATCTGTATACCAGAATGTTAAAATGATGAACTAAGACTAACAATTAAATGTTTGAATGAAGGGATATTTTGGAAGTTACATTTATACTAACATAGATAAATAAATCTTAAAGTGTACAAGTGTGCTTTTGAAGTGAAAACAGGAGTAAAACAAGATCGCCTACTATCACCCATGATATTCCTGATAGTGGTCGACTGTATCATGCAGCAAACAGTGAGGAGCGAGAAGAGGGGGATACGCTGAACTGATGAGAAGAGCGTAGAAGATTTGGATTTCGCTGATGACTTGTGTCTAATGTGTTGTGGCACAAAGTCGAAGATCTACAGGTAAAATACAACAAGTTGACAAAAGAGGTAGGGCAATGCAGCGAAGACGGAACTTCAAGTGAATATCGAGAAGACAGAGGTGATGAAGATAAGCAACCACGACCACGACCACGACCAACACCACCAACAACAACAGCAAACTGCAATCACCACCAACGGGAGAAACTCAAAGGAAGTAGCCTCTGTCACCTATCTAGGCAGCACTGTTTCAACCACAGGCGGCACAGGCAACACTGACGAGGACGTCAAAGCCAGCCAGGATCGGAAAAGCCAGCAAGACAGGCGTTGATTAACCTGAAACCAGTGTGGAGATCTTCTGCATTGCACTCAGCATACAGCGTCAACAACATCCAGATTTTCAACACCAACGTGAAATCAGTGCCTCTGTATGTCTCAGAGACTTGGCGCATTATGAAAGCGATTTCCAACAAACTGCCCATCCTGGCTCGTCACTGAAGATCAGGTGAATTGCCAGAAAGAATGAGCAACAAGGAACTGAACTCTGGCTGACTGGCAAGGATCCAACTCAGCAGGAACATATCGTCCAACAAATATGCGGAAGAAGGAAGTGGAGATGGATTGAGCACACACTGAGTAGGTTGACTGGGGACATCACGCGTCAGGCGAATTTTTCGAGTGGAACCCAGATGGGAAACGACGAGTTGGGCGTGCGAGGCGAGGGTGACATGGAGGAGATTGTGCGAGGAGGGAATGAGAGCTTGTTGGCTGTCGTGGAGCGAGGTTGAAAAGATTTGAGAGAAGAGAGTGGAATGGAGACGTGCTACTGAATCCCTATATTCTACTAGGAACCCAAGGGACAAATAATAAATGAAATAATAATGTACAAGTGCTGTCTGAAAACAATAATAACAATAATAAACTTTATCCCAAACTATCTGTGGTACATTTTGGAATTCTCTGTATTATGTATTGCAGCAACAACAACAACAACAATATATATGCATGTATATACTCCTTTACAACATTTCGAATTGTGTTATTATAAGAATTTAAGTAATGTTAACAATACTAATAAGGTGAAAACTTACTTAAATTATTGAGATGAGATTTTTAACTGTTACAAAGTTGATGTGTGTTTTCTGTTCTAAAACTTTTCTCCTCACAAAATATGCGTGCTAGGTAAGGTACAGTCGAATTCTTGTACTCAGTTGCACGAGCATACAGTCTTATGTGGTTTTTTCTTGTCATCCCTGAGAGGAGATACAAGTAGACAGCTGTGGATGAAGCGGATGCTCAGTGTCAGTTACAATTTCTGTAGCTAATTGAGTGCTGGAATTTAAATGTTTATCAACTACAGTGTTAATCGGTTTAGCCGGAGGCACACCACTTATCCTGCTGACGGCTTTTAAAGCTCTATACAACATAGATAGTCCTTTTTTAGAAGACCAGGAAAGACCAATCGGGAACAATATAGAACAATAGGTGAAATACAGAAATTAGTAAACTGTAAAAGAAGAGATTCAGTTATACCAGAGAGCCTCAGTTTCTTTATGTAATAAGTTAAATGAAAGATTTTTTGACAAATCAACAAGATATGAGACAAGCAACAAAGGTCAGAAGTAAAACTCAACCCAGTATAGTTAACACTGGATTTACTTTCTACAGAAATACCCTCAACACAACAGGTGTCAAGAGATTTAAGCAGCTCACATAAGTCTTGTTTACGCCTCAGGCTGAAATTAACAGTCTGACACTTAGGAGGGATTAACTTGAGACCATTTGAGAGAGATCATTGGTCAATTTTAGACAAGAATCCATTTGGTTCGGAGCAGTCTATATGCAAGTTAACTGGAATAGACACAATCAGGTCATCAGTATACTTAATAAAATTAGTTTCACCAGAATAAGGTAAATGATGCAAAAAGAACGAAAACAGAAAAGGAGAAAGTACAGCACTTTGAGGCATACCAGCTTCAGTAAGCAAATGAAGTGAAGCGCTTCCCTTTATAGAAAGTATGCTGTTTCCTTTCAGAAAAAAAAGAGTACAGCCACTTTGCAACCCATAGCTCATACTGAGCTATGGGAAGCTTATTTAACAAGAGTGGTCTAGGAACAGAGTCAGAGGCTGGTGAGTAATCGAAGAAGGAACAATGAACATACTTAACACCTTTGTCTAGACTAGAAACAATGTTATGATGCAAGACAGTGGCAGCATCTAAAATACTCCTCCTGTGTTTGTATGCAAACTGTTTTGGATCTCTGGAAACCTCTAATGAAGGCTCGATCACAAGGAGAAGTAATTTCTCCAATGTCTTCAGAAAAGGGGAAGTTATAGCCGTTGGTCGAAACGTAACATATAATCCAGAAGATGACTGAGGCACAGATACAACTTTGATCTACTTCCAAGCAGTGGGTATTATGTTTTTACAAAACGGTGCATTGAAGATATCTGTCAGAGGATGACATAAAATATCTGCACATTTTCCGTATCGAATACTAGAAACACCATCAAGAACTTAGCTTTGGGGTGGATTCAAGGAGTATAGACATTTAAATACATTGTGTGTATTAAAGCCAGGAAAGCAGTTGTTCATTTGACTTTGGACATTAGGAAGGAGGAATTCAGCTTCCCGACGTATAAATGACTTATTTAACGTGCAGACATTCGGACAAGCTTCTTTTATCGTCTATTTTCTATCAGTAAGCTCTTTAAATAATTTCCATATATTAGAAGAGTTCTTACAAGATAGGAACTTATGGTTGTAAATAGTATATTTACTTCAAATTTCAGGTAGATCTGAACAGGCTATTGTTTCAAAAGTAAGTTTTTGTTATTTGTCTCTAAGTTTTCATGTGTACTTAAGTATGCATCATCCTTTTTTCAAATATTATATTTAATTTTTGTCTTGTTGCACTGGTAAATACTTCGCCCTTGTAGATGTGGACTGAGGAGTATTTAATGCTTTAATTCTTTCGAAGGTGTTGATACAGTCACTGTTTGTCTGATATGTAGTTTATTCTTGCTACATTTTAAACTTTCCTTGTAAAAGTAGGTAACCAAAGTAATTAGATAGATGGTGCGTTTCCGTTTTTAGAAGAAGAATGGCTTTAGTCAGAAAGGATGATGGTGAAAATAAATTGAAGAAATTCAAATTACCTATTATACAGAGTTTGGTAGTTTGTGGGGATCTAGTAACTTAGAGGAACATTAGAAACTTAGGTTCAATCTCTGGCGGGGCCATGGGGAAGCACTACTGAGGAGTTCTCCTACCAGAACGAAACAGCTGTTCAGTTCTACTAGATTTCCATTGTTCCTCCAACTGATGTCAGTCCATGATGAATACCAACTTAAAGAAAATCACCTAATCCCCACAAACTCCGAAATTAAATTGATCTGGTGTTTATTGGTGACTTGGTTCGAGAGGTGATTCCTGAAGTTCCACCGAGAAGTCATCACCGGTGAGGCAAACCTGATGGATGTGAGGAAAACTGCTCATTGGTGACATTGGATGATAGTCGCTCTGTGTCGTGAACTGATAGGAGTTAGAAATATGGACCACTGAATTCCAACCCAATGGTTCAATGTTAAGGTGCTAGCTACGGAACCTGAAGGTCGTGGGTTTGATCCCTGGTGTGGCTGGGTTATGGGTGCGCACTGCTTGAAAGTCGTATACTAGGATGAAACAGGTGTCCAGTGATCCAAGTATTCCAATGTTTTTTTCAACTGATATCAGTCCATGATGAATACCAACTTGGAAAGATAAAACAATATTTATTATACGTTAACAATGGAAGAGAATGATTTTGTAAGCTTTCTAGTAAGTCCAGGTCATAGGCTTGCCCTGATGACGTCTGTACTCTTTGTTTTCACCTTTTGTTGCTACTTCCGTAGTTGAACCTGAGGAAGAATCATTACCAGATACATATAGTATAAAGCTCAAATGACCAGAGTGTTTGCCTAAACGATATTGATGGCTTGTAGGTTCATGCTTGTGCTGATGATATAAATACAATATGCTAAGGTATGCCAGTAAAGTCCTTATATCATGCATTTGCCTGTGTATATTATGCTGAGGAAAATCGTACCGGCAAGTGAAATCATACCATGCTACCACAAAGCTTCTTTTCACTTTATTGTTTTGTTTATCAACTTATATTAATATAACAATCTTGACTGCCTATACTTTAAAGCATTTTTATATAACATGTCTTACTGTCTTAATGTCAGTTTTATTTACTTTGCATTCAGTAACAGAGTAGATTCTATCTGAAACTTGAAGTGAGATATTTCAAGATCATTTATAACATATAACTTCTGTTTGAACTCGAAATAGTTACTAGAAACTCTAATGAGTGATGAATACCACTTCAGTCACAATTTATATATATAGTGGGTTATGATCTAAGTTGAAGTGACAACGGGCTGGTGATCGTTTTGTTTAGCTGCGAAAGGCTTCCAGTTGCCAAGTCATCCTGGTCGATACGAATGACTTTAAGGTCTACCCAAACAACTGATGAAATAACCAGTCAGACTTTGGTATTTTTCATAACTTACAGAAACGTTATTGGTTACTTTAGCAGTTGTTATGGTGGCTCTTAAGCCAGGTGGCCACCCTTACAACGACTGAAATATCCAATATAGTTCCTTTGTTTCGCTGGGAAAGACAGACTTTCATAAAACAAAGAAATCGAATTGGTTATTAAGTCTGTTGTTAGAGTGGCCTTGCCTGAGTCATTCCTAAGTTATGCCTGTCTATCTTTTGAGTCCAACGTTGTGCCCCGATAAGCTGGTTTTGTGATGTGTTCACGTCACCCATCCAGGTTTTTTGTTCCATCGGCGCTTACTCTGTGTATGTTATTCGTCTTATTCACTTATACCTATCCAGACGCTAAAGTACTCATGACCTTCATTTTCCTTAGCTTTGTCTCTCCGATTGATTTTGTGTTTGGAATTATCTAAGTCATTTAGCTAGTCTGCTTACTGGAGGAGTGAGCTGTCAATTTTGACTGTACATTATTTATACATGATTCAGCAGGATCTTGTTGGTGCTACTTTTAAGGAATTCTGTGATTTCCCTCATGGAAGCACCGCAGCTGAAGGTATCGATTACTACTAATCTGGTTATAATTCCTATTTACAGTAACCCTTTCATAATAAACCTCAACAATTTCGTTATGAACATTCTAAGTTTCTGCTTCACTTCAGCTGGGGTCTACGAATCCCCTCTTTAAACTTAACAAACACTTTTAAGCAAAAACATTTTCTCTGACATCTTCCTGAAGTAAGTTGTTCATAAGATAAGTTTAACATCATTTAGAATTGCCAATCATTTCTTCATGAACATGGCTTTTGAGAAAGCAAATATGTATGCTTTACAATGAAAACGATTTAAAAAGCAACAATTGATAATCGGAACGCAAAAGTGGTTATAATTCTGAGGAAATCCAATCAGTAAAAGTTAAAAACACCATTAGGTATTATTACTTCTTATGCGTATAACTTAGAATAGAGAATGGAATGGCAGTCAACTCTTTACCTCAACTTCATCGGCTTTGAGAAGACCTTCATTACCGTTGACCGAGAAGTAATTTGGCAGCTGCTTGAACATTACAGTTTCAAGGACGCAAACCTTTATCAACCTCATTCAACAGATATATGATGAGGCTATATGCCAAGTGATTCACAATGGAAAGCTAAGCAATGCTTTTGAAGTGAAGACAGAAGTAAGACAAAGTTTCCACCTGCTATCTTGGATGACCTTCCTGATTGTGGTCTACTGGAATGGAGTGGATGATGCAAGAAACTGTGAGCAGCGATAAGATGGGAATACGCTATTTGACCGATAAAAGGACCATAGAAGATTTGAATTTCGCCGGTGATGATTTATGTCGAATGTCTTGAGTCGCACAAACTAGAAGAACTAAAGGTAAAAACCAACAAGTTGGCAGAGGACAGAAGAGGCAGCGAAGGCGGGACTTCAAGTGAATGTAGAGAAGACATAGGTGATAAGGATACCCAACCAACGACAACAATAAGCACCAATTACCATCAACGAGAGAAATCGAAAGTAAGTTGTGTCTTCCCCCTACCTACCTAGGTGGCATCGTTTCAACTATAGGCGGCAGCACAGGCACAGATGAGGATGTCTTAGCCAGGATCGGAAGGAAAGCAAGATAGAAAGTCACTAATCTGAAATCAGTCTGGAGGTCTACTGCACTCAACCCAGAATAAAGAACAAGATCCGGATTTTCAACACTAAATCAGTGCTTCTATGTGATGGTTGAGAGGCTTGGCGCGTTACAAAAGGCATTTCCAACAAACTACAGACATTCATCAACAGCTGCCACCTACGCTCGCTTCATACTGAAGATGGTGATCACATGGCCAGAATAATAAGAATAAGCAAGGAGGAACTCTGGGTGGTAACGAACATACTAACCGAGAACCTATCACCCAACAAATATGCAGAAGAAAGTCTAGATGGATTGGGTTGTGTATACACTGAGAAGACCGATTGGGGACATCACGCGTCAAGCTAGGTCAGGCCATCTGGTGGAATCCAAATTGGAAACGACGAGTTGTGCGTCCCACGTGAGGTTGACATAGAGGAGTTGGTGTGAGGAAGAAATGAAGGCTTGTGGATAGTCGTGGAGCCAGGTTATGAGGACTGTGGAGAAGAGAGTGCAATGGCGACGTGCTACTGAAGCCAAGTGTTCCACTAGGAACCCGAGGGACAAATAAAAAATAAAATGTGTATAACTTGTACTTCGTCATATGCGTTAGAATAGAACTTTGACCCATAATTTCAGTTACTGTTTAGAAACTTCGTGCTGCACAGTTATAGAAGTAGGAAATATAGAACGTTGGGTTCCGACGCAGTGGCTCAGTGGTACCGTGCTGGCCACGGAACGAGGACGTCATGGATTCAACCCCTGGTGGGGTCATGGTTGCACACTGCTACAGAGTCCTACTTTAAGGCGGAACAGCCTTTCGGTGCTCCTAGTTTTCTGATGTTCTTCCGACTGCTGTCAGTCCATGATGAATAATAACCTGGCATTAATCAATCTCCGAACTGAATTCATCTAGTGCTCATCGTTGACTAGCTTCGGGAGGTGGTTCAAAACGTTCCAGTCAGTAGTCTTGACTGTTGGAGCCAACCAAGTCAAACATGCGAGCAGTTACCAAACAACGACATTAGATAGATGTCGCGCTATATTGTCATCTGACAAAAGTAGGAAGTGTGCAGCACTTGATTCCGAACCATTGGCTCAATGTTAACATGCTGTTCGCGGAACCTGTAGGTCATGGTCTCGATGAGTAGCAAGCACGTGGATGCGCACTGCTGAGGAGTCCACTACTAGGACAAAGTAGCTGTTCAGTGCTTCCAGGTTTCCAGTGCTTCTTAAACTAATATCAGTCCATGATGAATATTAACGTTAGAAAACTCATAAGGGAGCTGTGTTTACAAACCGTCGTTTGGGCAGCAATAGTTACCTGTAGCTTGGTTCATGAGGTTGTCAACTAGATTATTTATTGTACTGAACCAGTTTGACAATTGTTAGTAGGTACGTTAAAGCCACTGTACGTTTTCTATTGGATAATTTGCTGGTTTGAATCTTGCCGTAGTCCAGTTTTTCACTTCGCCTCAAATCATCCTCTAGTGTATCAACAGAATATCTCTTGAATCTCAGTAAATGTTAAATATATGCCTTAATGAAATTTATTATCCCCAATTTCAAATTTCAGTGGTCAAAACTTAAGGATGAGAATAGAGAATTAAAAAATAAGATACAAGAAATGAATTCTATATGGGAAGAAAAACAAAAGTGAGTGAAATGTTTACGCTTACTAACAAACGTTTGAGTAGTATATCTGTCGTACTGGATTTTCAAGAAGTGGTCAAAGACAAAAATAACTTTCATTACTTATTTTACATTGTGTGTATAGTGTGTTTCAATTGTTGCAGATCGTGAAGAAGATAGTTTGATAACTTAGTGTTAAAACATAATAGAATCAATGAAGCAATCAAAGACAATACAAAACACTCTTAGGTAGAAACAATACAATTAGGATATTCTTGCGTTGGAGTGCACTTTACCAGGGTATACTTTTACATCAGTCTGCTTCAGTGAATGAACATGATTGTAATAGCTTAACAGTTTGGCCATTCAAAGTGAATTAGGCTCATAACTTGATTAGAATAGATTAATTCAGGCCAACTGGATGACTAGGCTATGAGTCATACTTCTTCCTTAAGGTTCGTCCACCAAAACCATAGCAGATGGAGCACACTTTGAAGTCAGGGTTCATTACTTGACAATCAAATACCTTAGCTGATGGGCCATAGACCGGCTGGTCATTCAGTTCGGATAAATTCTTGTTAACTTAGATGGTAAGCAAGTGAAATAATAATTGGTTGTCTACGTCTTTTTGTTTTGATTAGATAGCACTACTGATCATTTTACGAACTCTTCAGCTAATCATGTTAGTTGTGTTAGTAGAGTACGCCTTCTAACTTCCCATTTACAATATTTTGCATTGTTTTTTCCTCTTCTTCGAAGGTGATTATCTTAAATCGAAGACTATTTTTTAATGTTATTGTCTACTGACTTTCTTCTAATGAATAAAAATGTATATATGTTTCATTGTCTGACAAATAAGTGCTTTATCTGTACTCGAAATTATTGCGTATAGTTTTTAAATTACTGGTTAAAAATGAAAGTTCTTAAAAATACTAATTTTTATTCTGAAGTAAGAAGTTGACTTTACAAGATAATAACCTTCATGTTTTGACCTCAGATTCAGTTCATTTAGATCGTTTCTAGTCGCTTTCACCAATACGCATATATCTATAATAAGAGAAAATGATTTGAATACTAGGAGTATTGAATTAACTTTTTACAAGAATCGAATTAAATGAACTACTTTTATGTAATATTATTTCTCAATCTGTTATTTGAATTTAAGGATAACTAACGGACACATAGCAATGATATATTTCAGGTATTTTCTGTAACGATTATTTATTACTCTTCTGGCTTTTTGACTACTGTTATATTTTGAACATAGTTTTATGACATAATAGAAACCATATTTTCAACCTGATGACTCATTTTCAGGCATATTCCAATATAAGGGTCAGACATAGAGTCCAAGGGGAGGGGGAGAAACTCAAGTTAGTTAATGAGGTTGGAAATCTCGTTTGACTGAGATGGCTTAAGGATATCTTGACGAGTACTCAGCCACTGATAGCATAAATACATAATGTTATTCAAAGAAGGCTAAGTGTAGCTAATCCATGAAGTGTCTGATTATTTGTCCTGAGCTAAGTAGGAAAATGTTGGAATTTCTAGTCAATGACTTTTAAGAATCAGTAAAAGGAATAATTTCATTCAGTGATATAGTTCAAAATCAGTCAAAAAGATGTAGTGTCGTGGACTGATTTCATTTATGTGTTGATTTGTCTATCTGCCTATTTATAGACCAACTGATATTCATGATTTCAATATTCTCTTAGAAGTATTCTATTATTAAAAGTTGTTCATTATCAGTGTTTGATTAACACTCGAAGTTACCATAACCATTCAACAATGAAAAGTCCCTAATTCTTGGTAATTGAATGTTGCTGACAAACTAAGCACTTCTGAATTTCGTTAATTTGACTCACTCTGTTCGTCATTGGTTGTTTCTGTCATTTACCTAACGACTTTACACTCTTCATCTCTCCTTTGATTGGTTTACTGAATGATATTCTTTGCTGATTGATTATAGCCAGCTGAAATTTTATTCCCTTCTCTAAGTGATAAATTCTAATGCTTATTAAAACGACTAAGTAATCTAGTGTTTTTCAACAAAGGAGACTAAGATGATGTTTGCTCTTCATTCACGGTGTACACTCATAGCATTTAGACGGCTATGCTTTACTGACTAATCTACGTGGAGTGCATTTCTGTCTTGTCATATATGGATTATACATTCGAAATCCCCGAAGTGATATCAAAAATAAGATATTGAATGAACAGGACTCTTTTAAATGAATTTATTCTCAAATTGTACATTCGTGTATATATCTGCATGATATTTAAAGACTGTAATCCATGAGAAAGACTCAACTGAATTAATGTAAGGTTGAAATAACAATAATGATGGGAATATTTATTAATAACGATACTTGATGATTATGCAAAGATCGAGTGATAAGGTGTGTATGGATTAAAACGGGTGAAAAGGTGGTAGAGTTAGTTAACAATCAAAGGTGATTAGGTAATATGAATGAGGCTACAGGTTAACTTTAATAAATTGAATATGATTTGTGAAGCGTTGCAATTATTAGGAAGATCAAATGAAGTGACACCGGAAACCATTAAATGTTAATGTAATCATATTGATAATGACGGCGAGTACAAAGATTATTCTGACAAAAGGGAAGTTGGAAAAACAAACAAGGAACGAAGTAGGCCAAGACTGAAATAAGTTAAGGCCAAGATAGAGACAAAGACTGTACATACTTCGATTGTGCACAAAAGTCAGTTGGACTTTATTTGATGGTGTTTTTAGAAGTTGAAGATATGGAGGGAAGGTGAGGTGCTTGAGCGAAATGGATAGACAACGTTAAAATCACTGTTTGGTTTGGTTGAATTGTTGGAATTGATTAGATGTTGAAGGATAGAACTTCTGATGCATTTTGTTTCACCATTATGAAAGCAGTCAAGAATATGTTGTTGTATACGTGTTGACAGGAATCTGTGACTACGGTCGATGTATTTTGCTCGATGGGAGCAAGTGAACTGCTAGATACACATGGTTGTGGCCTATCAAGAGATACTACCTTTTATACAAACTGTGAAAGATTCTCAACTGGTTAATCATTTCTGGTGTCACTTCATTTGATCTTCCTAATAATTGCAACATTCAATTTACCTAATCTTTTGTTTGTTTATTAACTCTAACACGTTTTCACTTCTTTGTTATTCTGTCTTCACCTTATGAACGATTTAAAAATCTTACGTAACCCTTTATGCTACCATACGACGTTTACGTCATCTGCTAGCAACACTGTTGTTATTTCAACCTCCCATTATTTTAGTTAAATCTTACTCATTGATTACAGTTCTCAAATGTCATATGTATATAAGAACGTACAGCTTGAGAATAAATTCCATGAAAAGAGTCCTCTTTGCTTAATATATTGTTTTTGATAGATATATGAATCGTAGGGCCGATTCTTTTCTTACCTTGTTTTTGTTCGCGCTATTTTGTGTTACCTCTGTATCCTTTTTATAAATTTAGATTTATCAGTCAGTCAGTCCGCTTCCAGTTTTTAACTTGATGGAATATCTCTTACACATTTATTTATCTATAGCTTTTCACCTAGTATTCTGGATTTGTGCGCTTTTCATATTTTTGACTGGTTTGCCTTAAAAAACCACTTTGCTGTTTTTATTGCTAGCTAGCTTCCTATGAGGTGCTTTCGACAGCGATAAACCTACAGCTAACTCATAATTTGAGGTTTTCAGTCTATTAGTCGTTGTTGTTTATCATTACAGTGGCAGCGTACTTCAGACAAATCTTGTGGTTAGGATTTTACTTGTAACTTGGGTATTTGGCTTATTTATCGAAGAATCATTTGATGATTTTCTCTCTGAATTTTTCGCAATAAATTTACACGCAGTTTAGATCAGTATAAAGTTTCTTGTTCTTATTTGTATTGCATTCAGGTCCACATTTATTGTTAAATATATGTAGTTCTTTGAAAATTAACATTTTAATTATAAATTAAGTTTATTGAACAAAGAATATTCTTTTCAATAACATCTTTGACTACCAACAGTTTTCAGTTGATTGTTTCCTCATATCTGGTTGCTTTACTGCGTCTGAAAGACCACCTGCCTAAACTGGTTACTTCTTGTTGTGTTTATCAGTTCGACTGCTCTTTTGGATTCATTTATATTGGTCCATCATTCAACATATCCCCACTTACTGTCCAAAAGCTATCACATACTGCACACTTTAGATAAGAGAAGCCCTAGATATTCAATTTAAGCAGCATGAAATATGTGTAGAAGAAAATCAACTGCAGCCATTACTTCTACCTTGGATAGTTTTGGAATGGAAAAATTCTAAAACGCCATATTGCGCCTACTGATTGAATCGCAAAACTTTTGACAGCTTGTATGTATTCTGTTTGAGGTCTATAAGGATTTTATATGTTTCAAGGTAGTATTTATCACGGAGCGACATCAGGTGAAGAACGCTTAAAAACCCGGAAGTAATAAACGGCTGTTTCTCCCTAGTATGAGACTTTTCAGGAGTACGCACCCACGAACCCTCAGATGACCGAACTCAATACCTTCAGATCTTGCGGTGACCCCATTGACCATGGTCTACATTTTCCTGCATCTGTTTATTCACGATTTAGCGTGACTATCCACCAAGACCTTCAATTGGCTTTTATATCCGACCGGTTAACCTCATCGACATAATTTATTATTCTGAACTGAGTTAGTTGAGTAGTTGACGCTGATATTGTGAACCATCAGTGCCTGAAGTGGATTGGACGTGTGTTGCACATACTGAGCCTCCACCTACCTCGACACGCAATAAGAGGAAAAGTTGAATTAGGTTAGAAGAGGCTTCAGTGTGATCAAATCAAGATAGAGGACTGTTGTTCTGAGCCGTATATGGAGGTGTAGACTACCTAGATATGGTCCTCAAGATGATAGGAACTAGTGGTTGAGAACTCTTGGTGACATAGCTAAAAATCGGTCACACTAGCGCGGATATATTCAATCTTTGACGTCTAAAGCTTGAATAACTCCATTAACCTTTACCCTTAAACTGCTTATTAGCTAATACAACTTGGTCTTTTTTGATATCAGGTTTTTTATATTCCCTTGTTATTTGTATTCTACTATGAAGTGTGGCTAATTGAACCACTACACTTGTGTGCGAGGTTCTACCTTGATTTTGCGTCTCTGTCTATCTGATATTGCCCCCAATGTAATCTTATTCTCAAGAGGATTCTTGCGCTATCTTAATGTTAGCGAACAACCGTTATCTCACCGCTGTTGACATGTATTTATTCGTTGAATAAGTACTATGGTCATAAGACGTAGAACCCTGAAAAAGAAGTTATTGTACAAGATACTTTTTATCTAATAAATTGGAATATATTTATGGGTCAGTAGACAGGTTTTCAGATCCGGGTGCAACGTCAGTTATGGTTGGTCATAGCAAAGGTTTCAGTGGCATACTTGTCATCATCATCACTAGCAGCAGTAGCAGTCTACCTTCTGACTTATGTCACCAAAGCTGAACTACAGAAAACGTTGTTTCACTATACGTTCCAACAGATACCTTTTGTTCTGTTTTCACTATTTTTTTCGTGGTAAAAGAAAAGTGAACTCGTTTTCCAAGAATTTTTCAAGAACACCATTCTCTCTGCTTGATCTTTAGTTTCAAAATTCATGTTCCTCTATTGAATTTCATCTCTTGGAAATGCTCATTATCATTTCATATTTCTACACTGCATAGGATTAGATACATAAAAGTCTGAGTAAATAAGATAAAAGGAGGATCGATTGACAATGCTGATGTACTAGAAGATCAAAATGAAAACAGATTAGACAAAAACTTTCAAGATTTCTATCAAGATAAGTAAGACAGAGAAACATCTGAAGTCTAGCCTTCAACAATCTACTCTGACTGTTTTGCTTACCTCAAAGAAAAACACCTAGTCTTATCTTTGAATATCAAAAAGTTATGGACTGATGGTGTTTCTTACACATCATGAGAGGTAGTATAGGTGCATGTATAAGGAAATGCCCCACCCATTCTGATTAATGCTAATGTATGCAATAAATAACCGATTTATCTTCTCTATTCAGTACTTCATGTTCACTATATAAAGTAACCGAACATTTTAAAGGTGCTATTCGTCAAGGACTGACATCAATTGGGGAAGTCTTGAAAGCTTGTGAATACTGGATATTTGTTTCATCCTAGTATGGGACTCTTCTGTAGTACATATCAGTGACCCCGCCCGGGATCGAACTCAGGAACTTCAGGCTTCATATGTAAGGCGTTAGCCTTCCAGCCACTGGGTTGGGATTTTGTTGGCCCACAGTTTTCTAGTCCTGATAATTTGCGATATAGTGGAATTATTGTTGAGGATTTTTACACTATCCAGTGCTCCTAGATTCCGACTGGTTTTCCAAATGATATCAGTTCGTGATGAATAAGTGAAAACTTTTCTGGCTGTCAGTGTGGAAGCATTTCCATCTTGAAATTCAGGTTTTTCATATTTTTAATGTTCATGTGTTGTTATTACTGACTTTGGATAAACTATTTCAGGAAGCTAGAACATCGTTGCCGAATACTTTATGCTCGATTGAAAGTTGAAAAATCTAATCATCGTTCATCTCACCATAAACCTTCCTCTTGGTTACGGTAAGCTTATCCAAATCAATAACATTCCTAATTATAATTTATTTGTTTTTATCCATTAATGTCCAAGAAATTAATCTGGATAGCCATACTGAATTGTGAAACAATTCCATGTCATAAAGTGAAATTATGATGTTCAGTTTAAAGGTTTGTGGGAAGTTATTTGTTGATTTGAGGTAGACCTTTATCATAATTGACATCAGTTGGTGAACCATCAAAACTTAGAGGCATTACATAACCCTAACGCCCTAGTACGGGTCTCAACAGTGCACACTTACGGCCCTCTAGAAGTCAAACTGAGGACCATCAGGTTTCGTGGTTAGTACCAGATGGGAATCCAATTGTTCTCCAACTGATATGATGAATATCAACTAGAAATTATGAGAAATACGTGAATCCGCTTTCAAATGGCAAGAAAAAAACACTGGGGCAGAAAAATATGGATCCATTAAATAAATTTCGGTGGTGCTGAACTTGTAGTCAGAGGGAATGTGAAACACAACTCATCAATTGTGAATATCCTTCATTTATTGATCATTGTTCGCATACTTTGATATTCTGAGTAGACCATCTGTGCTTCTACAGCTTCATATTTTTTCTTATATATTTTGCTAAATACAAATAATTTCGAAGTAGTATTCATCATGGACCAATATCAGTTGGGGAACTACTGAAAATCTGGGGTCAACCAGTCGGAAGTGAAGTGGATGCTAACTGAAGACCTTGGGTGATAGTCGCGCTATGTCGTGAATTGACAGAGTTGGAAATTGTCAACCACTGAAAACCGACTTAGTGGCTGAATGGTTAACGCGTTCACCGTGAAACCTGAAGGTCCTGAGTTCCATCCCTAGCCGGGTTGTGGGTGCGTACTGCTGAGTCCCAACCAAGGACGAAACAGCTATCCAGTGCTCCCAGATTTTCAATGGTTCCCCACCTGATGTCAGTAGTCTATGATGAATACTACTTCCAAATTAAAAAAAATTCCCTATTCATCTCACAAATAATTTTGGATTACGTGAGCCAACAGACTATCTCCATCAGATGGGGTGATATTAGTGGTTGTAGGATTAACTCAAACAGAGGAATAATAATAGATGAGATTAGAGTTGGTTTATTTCCTCAGCTCGTTAATTACAGATCTCAATAAGAAACTCAAACTGAGTTTAAGACCGTAGCCGTCGGCCAAACCGTCAACCCAGAGATATAACAGGTCGTTCTCATCAGTCGTCTACAGCTTAGAATATTCACGATAACAAACTACGATAAACTGTCAACACACTTTAGCTCAGTGAGATCAGTCAAAAAAGAGCAGTACGAAATAATAAAGAAACTGTAAGAATTGAAAAAACTTGCAGATGTCATGTTCTCTTTTGATTGATCTCAGTTGTTGTTTAATGTTACAAATATTTTAGGTCGTAAGCAGCTGATGAGAACCGCTAAAGGATAATGTGCTTGAAATCTACTTTCCACTATGATAATTTACACATTTTCAAGTTCCATTGAAGTTACGGATAATCATTTTTAGTTTAACATTTCTCAATCTTCTTCCATTCTCTCAGTTCACAAAAAGGCCATTACTCCTTACCAAACTGGATCGCACTAATTGTCAGTCATAAATTTCGGTGATGAAATACAGATGATTACTGATGTCATTTCAGCTTGAAGTCTTGTAGTTAAAGGCCGACATAAAGTGTTTTTGATTGACTGGTTTTCTGAACATACTGCAATGATAGTTGTTGACTGAGATGATCGCTTCTTTCTTTCTTTCTTCCTTAGTTTTGATTTATTGGGGCTGGGGTTTATTGACCTAGACACTCGGCAATGAACCAGTGGAATACATACTCCAACCTAGCACTACCTATCATGATGTGAAGATACAGGTATCATGATTAGCCCTGACAGTTTAGCTGTGATCCACTATCTACTGCATAAAAGTTTACTTGATTTATTTGTACAACTAAATTCAACGCGATTTTTGAGTATTGATTCAACTTTACTGACAATAAACGCTAGACTTTGTAATTCTACATTGTGCTTACATTAACTGTTTGAAGACGATAACCGGTAGAAAATCCTCAAATGAGAATTTATTCGTCATACGGATATAGATACACGTTAGTCATACCTGAAAAAATGAATGTTATCCAAACCATTTATAGCATTACAGTGTTCAAAAATTCTTCCGGAGGTCTAATCCAAACAACATTGAATATTAGGATACATCCTAGAAAATTTTATCTAAAGACATTTTATTGAAAACTCCCAAATGTCCGCTACTTTCGACATCTGAGTCTTATAGTCCTATCACTCACTTCATATTCCTTGTTTTTATTGGTAGTAAAATATTCCATATCTCTGCTATAGGTGTTGGGTCATTTCTATTACGTGTGTTGGCTGGGTTTCGACTGATTCTATGAACAAAGATTCAGCAATCAATCTCTCTCTCTACCTTATGATATTGGATTTAAGTACAGTGGTTTTATCCCACCCTATTGTATGTTAGTACAGATTGTAGAGGATAATTATCAACTGTTAGCGCCTTTTTTATGTGCTTCAGTTCCTTGTTTAGGTTCCAGTCACTTTTCTAGCTTTATCATTTAGACATCTGACTAAACCTGCCTTAACTGACATTGGATGAGATGACTTGAAGTTTAAATACCTGTTAGAATGTATCAATTTTCACTTACATGGTAGAAAATGAACAAGGAGAACTACCTATATTGGATTGCAGGATAAAACGAAGGACAGACGGTGGTTTAGTTACTACTATTGACCGAAAATTGACACATTTCAACAGGCATCTAGACTTCAAGTCATCTCATCCAAGGTCAGTTAAGGTGGATTTAGTCAAACATCCAAATGACAGAACTAAAACTTACTAGTCATTGTAGGAGCTTAGACAAGGAATTGAAACACATGAAAGAATTATAACTAATTATCTGCTACAGTTTATTAAGAAATTCCTACGAACACAGAGGAAACGAAATAATGACAGTAACATGAGTACGAATAACAACGATAACACGAGTAGAAAGGAGCTCACAGCCTCCATTGTGTTAACCTATAAGGAAGTTACATCAGATACTTTACGTAGGATCCTCAAAAAATCTGGAATTAGCGTGGCATTTAAAATAACAAACTCACTCAGAGATAAGCTTTACTGGTTTAAAGAACAAATAGGTCTAATTAAGCAAAATAATCTAGGTCAAGTACATAGGTCAAACCAGCCTGTCGGGGTCAGTTAGTATGGTGAATCATAGGAATCTAGCTAAATGCAGAATGACAGGCCCCAATAAGATCAATAATCTGAGAAAACACTCGGCTATTGCAATGTATACAATATGCTTATTTATTATTATTATTTATTTGTCCCTTGGGTTCCTAGTGGAACATAAGGCTTCAGTAGCACGTCTCCACTTCACTCTGTTCGCTGCAGTCTTTTCAACCTGGTCCCACGACTGCCCACAAGCTTTCATTTCTTCCTCTCACCACCTCTTCCATGTTACCCTCACCTGGGACGCACAACTCGTCGTTTCCCATTTGGATTCCACTCGACGGCCTGACCTGGCTTGACGTGTGATATCCCCGAATGGTCTTCTCAGTGCATATCCAATCCATCTACACTTTCTTCCACATATTTGTTGGGCAATAGGTTCTTGGTTAGTTGGTTCATTGCCAGCCAACCAGATTTCCTTGTTGCTTATTCTTTCTGACCATCTGATCTTCAGCATCAAGCGTGGGTGGCAGCTGTTGATGTATATCTGTAGTTTGTTCGGAATGCTTTTCATAACGTGCCAAGTTTCTGAACCACCACAGAGAAGCACTGACTTAATTGAATTAATGTTGAAAATCCGGATCTTGTTCTTTATTCTGGGTTGAGTGCAGTAGGTCTCTACACTGGTTGGCTTTTAATGAAGGCCTATCACACTGTACTTAAAGTTCAATATAATTAGGTGGAGAGAGAGAGATTGATTACTGGATCTTTGTTCATAGAATCAATCAAAACCCAGCCAACACATGTAAGAGGAATGATGCAACACCTGTACCAGAGATATGGAAAATTTTACTACCAATAAAAACAAGGAATATGAGGTGAGTGATAGGATTATAAAACTCAGATGTCAAAAGTTGTGTGATTACATTGATATGATTATCAGCAATAATAGTTTATGCACAAAACATCATTCAGTTAGTCATTCTGTATCACTGTGTGTTATAAATCAAATCAGAAAATCTAATATGGTGATGTAACTATTCTCTATAGTGTTACAATTTAAATCGATACACAACTTGAGATAACAACTTCTTGTTTAAGAAGGTGTATTGTAAGGCTATTCAATCATAAATATGCAAACAAACCATATTTACGTATATTTTAGTCTAAATTAGTATTCATCGTAGAGAATTTATGTCATCTTTATTCTACAGCTCATCAATGAATATACTTATTCCTTCAAAACTGATGTACAACATGAGAAAAATATCAAGTATAAAGCAGAAGAATATTTACACAAAAAACTCGTTGGAAAGATGTAATCATGTTGCCAAAAGTGAAAATGATCCTACCGATGACCATCATAATAGTGAAACAAGTATCATACACTGTGATCCAGTAAAAGATGGTGATTCATATGAAGTACGCAGATTGAATCTATCTAATGATCTTAGAACAAGTGAACTGAAGTAAGTGGAAAGCTTCATAGTTTCAATTACTATTTCATATTCTGTTGGAGATACATTTATTTTGGTAAATCAGTTTTATTCAATATGGACAATAACTGAGGTATGAAGAAGCCTTTCATCACAGTAGGATTCAAGCTTTTGAATAAGCGGTTAGATGCTCTACTAATTTCAGTATTTGTCCTAATTTCTGACTTGTTTTTAATTGAGTGAATTCACATGACGTTTAGCCTGAACTTTTGGTAGTATAAATGAACCAGAGGTACGGCTATCACTTACGTCTTATAAGTTGGTTGCTGTATCCCCAGGATGATAATTCAGCAGGTCATCGTTCAAAACCTGATGTTGGTTAATTAATTTTGCAACCTATACTACAACACCGATAGTAAAAACCTAGCAAATATTTGTTTCAATTGACTTTTTTGATTTCTCGGTAATTGGTGGAATGAAAATTGGTTTTCCATAATGTTTTGTCTGTAGTTGGAGGTTGTTAGTGAAGCTGTGAAGTTATCTTAACTGATACGTCTCAGAAAATTAACAAACATATGGGATTGTCATCTATCCTAAGGTACGAAGCTACCTAAAGTAAAATTTAGGACAAAAATAGGTAATACCGTTCAGTCAAATGAGATCATCAGATTTCGATGTCTGTTAGTTGGTTTGAAGCAACTGACAAGAAGTCAAACTTGACTTAGCTTCGTAACTGTTAACACTCGTCAACAAGGCGAATCTCCAGTTTCATAGGACCCTCTGGGATTTTAAAGTCAGTGACAGTGGCTTGGAATCGTGTGGATGGTTGTAAGGTAATACTGGTCGATGGTGAAACTAAAACTTGTAGATTCTACGTAAGAGAAATGTGAAAGCGAGAGAAACATCTTTCAAGGAATTTTCGCTCTGTTCACTGGCTACTTTTACATAGATATTTCAGTATATAAATATATTAAGAGTAGTATTCCTCAATGACTGAGATCAGCTGGAGGAACACAGGAAACCTGGCAGCACTGGACATCTGTTTTGTCCTAGTATGGGACTCCTTGGCAGTGCGCACTCATAACCCAGCCCCACCACGGATGGTTCATTTCACGACATAGCGCGACCATCACCCAATATCATCATTGAGTATTTGTCCCGACGGTCACCAAGTTTGCTCTACGACTTCTCATCGGAACTTCAGGAATCAACTCTCGAAGCTAGTCTCCAGTGAGCATTACATCAATTTAATTTGGGGGTCCATGGGAATTTGTTGATTTCAAGTTGGTACTTATCATGAACTGACATCAGTCAGAGGAACATTGGACCTGTGGAGAAAACTTGGAGGCCGTGAGAACAAACACTATAGTGACATTGGGCGATGGTCACGCTATGTCATGAACTGACAGAAGTTGGGAATATGGACCAGTGTATTCCGATCCAGTGGTTCAGTGGTAACGTGCTGGACACAGAAATTATTGGTCCTAGGTTCGATCTATGGTAGGGTGGGGTCATGGGTGCGCACTGCTGAGGAGTGCCGTACTAGGACAAAACAGGTCTTCAGTGTTCCCAAGTTTCCACTTTTCCTCCAACTGATGTCAGTCCATGATGACTACGAACTTGAAATCGATAAATGCCCACAAATCCCTAATTCAAATACATTAAGAGTTGTTGCTATTACGAATATCAAACTGTATTTATTGGATGGTGATAGTTTATTACTGTACACCAGATCTACTGCACTTCTACATTTCACATGAATTAATGATCAGCACTATGGACTTGAAAATCTGATGTCATCATTCATCGACTAATCCTGCTATGACTGGTAATGCGAACTAACAGTCTATGAGCTATGCGAAGCTAACGCCCAACAGAATTTATTCGAATCTCTAAATCGGAACCTCAGCCATCGCCACAGCAACAGCACCAGCACGCGAAGACAAGAAGAAAAGTTGGGAAGTTGACAACAAGATTTTACTGTCTCAACAACAGTGGTGAATATATACGTTTCTAAACGACGTTGAAAGCACTAATTCCGCTGATAGGTTAAAAGAGATAACAACCAATGACAATTCAGCCTTCAGAAGTAGTGAGAAAATAAAAGCCAACAACCGCGTAAAAGTAGCAATAAAAAGTTATTTTGAGGTTATAAGCGGATATAAGGGAAACGCTAGGCACAATTAAGGGTATGTAGCGAATTCTACGAAGGTCAGTCACCTCATGAGGTTATTTCATTTTTATAGACTCAGCCTACTCATGAGCACCTGTAAGCAGGACATAGGTTCACTATAGCTTTCTACCAGTTGAATCCCAGCATCTGAAGCCATGTAAACTGTCTATCCTAGAAAATATTATCATATTAACCTCCATGTGGAGAAAACTGACGGATATCATCGGTGGACAAAATGATAAGAAACTAGAGGCAGCTAGCTCACCATTAAATTAGGGTTGTCACAGAATATTCTGCCAAAGTAAACTCGAATGTTGGCGACTAAAAGTGCATGCCAAATGGCTGTCATCCTGCTCACTCGAAGAAGTTCTTAATTGAAGCCCCCACCATCTTGAATAATTCGGCATCAACGCACTCAAGAGGGTTTCACCCTCAACCGATATAATAGCTGAACTGTCTAAACAGTCTGCAGTCTGAAGAGTAAAATATATTGAACTGGACTCAAGTCTTTCAATATTTGGATAACAGAACTGTGTAAATGCTTACAAATTTTTCATAGAATCTAATAAATTTAGATATCTTGAAAAGAAAGTCAGTGTTTTAAGTGTGTACATAGTCAATTAAATATCCACATTAAATGGTCTTCATTACTGACCGAAACCTGTCGATCCTTTGGCAGTGTGACTAACAGGCTGAGAGGCTAACCACCAACGTGCACTTTGATCATTGTCAGATAGTTAGAGGCCACGGACGAGAAGGTCTACTCGACGTACCCAGTAAGGCAGCCCAGATTGCAAAGGAGATGAGAAGGTATCACATCGAAGTGCTTGGGATTTGCGAAAGCAGATGGAATGGGAGTGGACTCTGCAAACTGTCAACTGGAGAATCAATAATCTACTCCGGTCACCCAGACGCCAACCACGAGCACACTGAGGGAGTGGCTATCATGATGTCCTCAAGAGCATCGAAGGCTCTCATGCAGTGGGAACCAATCTCCTCCAGGATCATGACAGCAAGATTCAACTCAAAAGGAAGAAAGGTCACAATCATACAATGTTATGCACCTACAAATAATGCAGAGCAAGAGAAAAAGGAGGAATTCTACAGACAACTTCAATCAACACTGGACAAGACGTCAGTTGGCGATATCAAAATTCTGATGGGCGACATGAAAGCCAAACTGGGAGGGCACAACACGGGAAGAGAACTCACCATGGGTCGAGAGGCGCTAGGTGAAATAAATGAGAATGGAGAATTGTTTGCAGAATTCTGTGCATTCAACGATTTGGTGATTGGAGGCAGTGTGTTCAGGCACAAAGATATCCACAAAGCGACATGGATTTCACCAGATGGACACACTAAAAATCAAATCGACTTTATCTCAATCTCAAGAAAATGGAGACGCAGTCAGCTACTTGACACAAGGTCAAGAAGAGGAGCAGATGTAGGCTCAGACCACTATCTAGTGCAAGGAACCTTCCAAATCAAGTTAAAAGCCTTCAAGGAAGCTGGTGATAGACCTCAACCCAAGTACAACACTCGGAAACTGAAGGATGAAACTACAAAGGAGATCTTCAAGGCAGCCATCAAGACAAAATGGGAGACATCGAGGGACATCCCTGAAGAAACCTGTGTGGAAGAACACTGGAAGTCTTTGAAAGCTATGTGGAAAGAAACCTGCACAACAGTATTAGGAAGGAAGAAGAAAGAAGACAAGGAATGGATCTCGATGGATACCTGGAAGCTGATAGAGGAGAGGAGGATGGTGAAGCAGAAGATAAACCAGTGCAAGGATGCTCAACGACAAGAGGAACTGAGCACAATGTATAAAACAGTGGACAAAGAAGTGAAGAAGAGTGCACGCAAAGACAAAAGACACTTCTACGAAACACTGGCAAGTGAAGCAGAACAGGCTGCCTGCTGGTAGGAGAGACCTGACGACATTGTATCAAATAACCAGGTTGCTATCTGATGGAAGAGACCAATACAGATGAAACCAATAAAAGATGAAGAAGGAAATTTAATTACAAAAGAAGAGAAACAGAGGAAACGATGGGCCGACCACTTCAAGAAGCTCTTGAATCGACCACCACCTGCACTTCGTCCAGAAATACCACCTGCAGCCGCTGAACTACAAGTGAACATTAATCCCCCAACGAAAATGGAAGTCCTGAACGCCATAAAGCTACTGAAATGCGGGAAAGCAGCAGGACCAGATGGAATACCGCCAGAAGCACTGAGAACAGATGCAGAGACAACAGCGGACATGCTCACGCCACTATTGCAGAAGGTGTGGAAGGAAGAGAAGGTACCTGCCCATTGATTGGAAGAAGGGTTACCTTGTCAAACTGCCGAAGAAGGGAGACCTCAGTGCTTGCAAGAACTGGCACGGAATCACTCTCCTATCCACCCAGAGCAAGTAAAATATTAAGCCGCATCATCCTGGAGAGGCTAAGGGATGCACTGGATTCAAAACTACGACCGGAACAGGCAGGCTTCAGGAAGTACAAATCATGTGCAGACCAAATTGCAACGCTTCGTATCATCATAGAACAGAGTATAGAATGGCAATCAGCTCTCTGCCTCAACTTCATCGACTTTGAGAAGGCCTTTGACAGCGTCGACCGAGAAGTAATTTGGAAACTGCTTCAATACTACGGAATACCGCAAACCTTTATCCGCCTCATTCAACAACTATATGAAGATGCTACATGCTAAGTAATCCACAATGGGAAGCTCAGTGATGCCTTTGAAGTGAAGACAGGAGTGAAACAAGGTTGCCTACTATCCCCCATGATATTCTTGATTGTGGTGGAATGGATCATGCAGCAAACAGTAGGCAGCGAGAAGAGGGGGATACACTGGACGACGGAAAAGAACCTAGAAGACTTGGATTTCGCCGATGACTTATGCCTAATGTCACATAAACTTGAAGATCTGCAGGCAAAAACTAACAAGTTGACAGAAGCGGCGAGGCAGCTAAGACGGGACTTCAGGTGAATATAGAGAAGACAGAAGTGATGAAGATACCGCACCACCACCATCAACAACAACAACAAACTCCAATCACCGTCAACGGGAGAAACTTAAAGGAAGTAACCTCCTTCACTTATCTAGGAAGCACTGTTTCAACTACAGGCTGGACGGACGAGGACGTCAAAGTCAGAATCGGAAAAGCAAGACAGGCGTTCATTAGCCTGAAACCAGTGTGGAGATCTTCTGCACTCAGCATGCGGAACAAGATACGGATTTTCAACACCAACGTCAAGTCAGTGCTCTTGTATGGCTCAGAGACTTGGCGCGTCACGAAAGGCATTTCCAATAAACTACAGACATTCATCAACAACTGCTTACGCTCGCTGCTGAAGATCAGATGGCCAGAAAGAATAAGCAACAAGGAATTCACTCTGGGAACGAACCAACCAAGAACCTATCACGCAACAAATATGCAGGAAGAAGTGGAGATGGATTGGCCATGCACTGAGAAGGCCGACTGAGGACATCACGCGTCAGGCCCTTGAGTGGAATCCTCATGGGAAGCGACGAGTTGGACGTCCGAGGGTGACATGGAGGAGGTCGTGCGAGGAGGAAATGAGAGGTTGTGGGCTGTCGTGGGACCAGGTTCAAAAGATCTCAGAGAACAGAGGTCACTGGAGGCGTGCTACTGAAGCCCTATGTTCCACTAGGAACCCAAGGGACTAATAATAAAATAATAATATTTAGACTACAGCTAACTTCCTATGTAACTGGATTAGGTACACAAACTGGTCACTGGAGAGCAGTCAATGTCATGTCTAGTCCTGGGTGTTGATCGAATTCTGTCGATCACTTTGCAGTATGCCTACAACGTTAATAAGCCAACCAGTGCCGAAAAGCACGAAAACTAGGTCCAAAGCTTTCGGTCGAATGAGTCCCCCCAGCTTACATCAATAACTGACTAAGTATACTTTCAATGTTCAATCCATATTCCAGCAACTTATCACTTCCGTCTTTTATGACATATTGCTGATGCAAGGTCAATAGATAGTCATTCCCGCTTCTTATTTAAAGCTGAATTGGCAGCAGTGGTATGTTTTTCCTCTTCTACTTAGTGGTTGTTGGCTCTTATCCTTCTAAATCAGTTATTCTGGCATCTGAGGCGATAGGTACTGTGTTCTAGTCTTAGTGGGAACAATATCAGTCTTTCGGGTGCAAGTACATCAAGCCACTGAGTCCCGTATAGAACGAAATGCACTTTCTGGATTCCACTGCCAGCCATCACACAGAATAAAGTGAAATGAATATCCAGGTGGGATCGAGGCCTCCATACTGGAGCTCATTTGAAAACAGAGGTCGAGATTTTTGACCCAGTATAGGACCGGGAAATTTCAAGTTTCAATAAACATAAGTTATACTGAGTTTGTCATTTGTGTAGTGATATGGAACTTTTAAAATTACCCACCAATTTTGTTAAAACTAAGAGGTGTATGTAACGTTGCTAAGCAGGAAGAGACTAGGTTAGGAGGCAAGAACTCGTAATGGTTCTGCAGCATACAGATAATACGATCGAGTTTTTTGGAGCTGTAGCGAAAGCTCCAATAAATTACGTAAGACGTTCCTAAAGAGAAGTAAACTGTTCACAGACAATGAAGTAGTCCAGAATTGGGGTGTTGATATCCTTCATCTTTCTGACTGATAGCCAAGATAGAAAATGTTCTAAAATATACCTGCGGATTTGATGTTTTGTCCGTCTATGTAAATTGAAAGATCCACATTGAAGTAATCAAGGCATTATTGAATTCGTTTTCCATTAAAGAATATGATTTTGAAACTATGTGGAAACTAATACCACATCAACTTCATCATTCTCATATTCACAACAAACATATAAACGACTTTCCGGTTTCGCTTTCCATATCTTTTGCTTACCACAATATACCTGTTATCGTCTAACTATAGTCCGTTATCTATTTAATTTCAATGTATATTTTCGAGTGGAAATTTTACTGTATAGTCTATCAAAATGAGATCGTGTGAAAAGAAGTGTACTTGTTTGTTGCTTGACATAGAAAAATTTATCAACCAAAGCTGAAGTTCAAAGAACAACTTCATCTGAAACTGATGACTATTTATTATTTTTTCTTTCATGAAAAGGCGTTCTCATGTATAACAATGAAGACTTAGTTTATGTTAAAAGAATACAGAAATCCACTCAGTACCCTTGTGGATATTCGTGTCATAGGTAATGAACCACACTAATTGTGTAAGTGTTAAGGATATTATCTGACTGCCTAAACCCTGGTAGGTTCAGCTGGGATCGAACTCATCGGTTTGAAATCAAGTACCCAAACCAAAGAGTCATATAACGTCAGTATGTTAATTCCACGTTAATTCATATTCTTTATAGATCAAGGAAACATGCAATTCATTTCTTTAAATTAGAAGATAAAATCTCACAGTTATCTCAGGTTCAATCTTCATACACTTTGTTGAATCAAAGAAATAACTCGTTAATACAGCAGGTATGTTCTGAAATTATTATTTCATATATATATATTACAACTAAATATCTGACGATTAACTGGTGGTTTATTGAAGTAGGTAGACACACCGTTTCATCGGTTCATAAATATTTACACTTCAGATTTCCTTTAGTTATACAATTACAAATTTATACCTTTTTATGTGTTCTTATTTGTTTGTTAGTTAATAGTGGTTTTTCGAACATAGAAACAAAATATATAACAAAAGATACTTGAGTTGTCAGTAAAATCAAAAACTGAACATGACTAGAGTTGTGTAAAAATTAGGAAGTTTCGATCAACAGTTTCGCGATATAACAAAATATTTGTATACTGATTTGTGATCAGAAAGAGCATAGAAACAATAACGAGTAATAAATTGTCTAATTAGTAAAGACTGTCAAAAAAGGAAAATGAGTTTAAAGGTTGAAAATTAAGACTATGAAAGGAGAAGAGGTTGAATTATCATCTTTTGCCTACAAAGCTTTCCCTGCGGATGACAAGAGCTTCTGAGATGTAGAGAATACAAAGATATTCAACCTTTGGAAGGTTTCTTTTCATGTTATAAATGAATGTGAATGAGGACGTTTTTGAGATAGAATAACCTGCGCTCATGATGTCTCCAGCTATAACACTTCTCATTGACCTACTATTACTTCTTTGTGAACATGCGGAATAGTGCTCCTCAACCCATGGGGATAAATATCGCATTGAGATGCGAAAATTTTTGTCTTTCAGTTTGTTGAAAATCCTTATTTGCATCAACGCTGAGACTAGTATTCTTCTGTCTCCTAGTTCGATATGTTCTTTAACGCGACATTTATCCAAATGGGTTGAGGAGCACTATTTCGCATGTTCACAAAGAAGTAATAGTAGGTCAGTGAGAAGTGTTATAGCTGGAGACATCGTGAGCGCAGGTCATTCTATCTCAAAAACGTCCTCATTCACATTCATTTACGACGTGAAAAGAAGGCTTCCAAAGGTCGAATGTCTTTGTATTCTCTACATCTCAGAAGCTCTTGTCATCCGTAGGGAAAGCTTTGTAGGCAAAAAATGATAATTCAACCTCTTCTCCTTTCATAGTCTTAATTTTTAAATCCTGAAATCATCTCGTTCTACTTTTCTACACTATTCACTTCTTACATAACTTACCGTTCATTATTGTTTCTGTACTCTTTGTCATCATACATCAGATTCCAAATATGTTTCCATGTTGCAAAACTGTTTATCGAAACTTTTTAATTTTTATACAACTCCAGTCATACTGTGATTAATCTTCACCATTCATCACAATTTTCTATTTTAGTGATAGCTTAAGTATTGATACCATTCTAGTTGCCATGTTTGATACGCCACTTTTAAACTAACAAACAATAACACAAGATAAATGGATAGACTTGCGACAGTAGAGCTTTGAGAATGAAGCTAGTAGAGAGAGACTCTTCGCTGAAGTAATTGCGCTTCTACTAATTGGGTGACTGTTCACCATCTTGTAATTTAAATCACTTATACTGCAGTACACGCTGCTGATCAATATATATATATATATATATATATATATATATATATATATATATATATATATATATCTGTTGAGAGGGCGGCAGAAATCATAGGCAATTATCAGCGATGAGTTAAGATTCTGCCCAGAGAAACGCATGAGACAAGTTGGGCATATTAGGAGCAAATTGAGATAGAAACAGAAGAGGAAATGAAGCACATTGTGCAAATGACTATTTTAGTGGAAAGTGTATAATATTTCATCATTATTGTACAGGACGTCAATCATAAACATTCTTTCCTGCGTCTCAGTTTTGTCGTTTCCTACAATACTACATCTTTTTCCCCCAGTGATATTGGCGAGGATGTTCACTTTTTGAAACTTTGTTGACCACCTTTGTAATCATACTGTCAACTTACTCCTGACTAGCTTTATTTTGTGAAGAGTTCAATTTGTTTAAATGCTGACGGAAGACAGTCATTCAAGGTGTTATTTAAAATGAAGAAATTAGAAGAGAGATTGACTAGCTTAACTGAAAGATGATGGCGTTGTACATGGAATAAAAGTTATAATTTATCCACTTTGTAACTCAAATGTAATCAGTTCTTCATAAGAAGGGAATGTCTTCAGTTGTATTTCTGTTGTAGGCAATTAACGATGTATAGGGCAGAGAAGCTGTGGAAGTACATTTCATCTTGTTGCATATCTCTTTGTTAGTTGTACTACTAAGGTGAACTGCATTTCCAGTATCATTAAATTTCATTTCATTATCATCATCATGAAGATCAACATAGGACAAGGCATTACTGCGTAACGGTCCAAGTTGCCGCAGCTCATATCAGCACATAAAATAACAAGGCAATAAAATGGGAGATAGAGAAGGAAAGAAAAATCGGTCAAAAGAAGTAGCGAGTAGTAAGACAGAGGGAAGAGGAATGAGAAAATGATGAGGTTAAGTATAATAGTCAAGATGAGGACAATGTATGTATACATCCATGCTACTGACAATGATTCTGAGCCATTTATCTAGAGCTCGACCACTCGTTTCTCTTGTCCCGCGGAATACAACTGGCTAGTCTGCATCTCCACACATTGTTCAAACCAATAGTCAAGGACTTCATGCATCGAAGCCATGTTTTAGTCTGGTCACCCCTAGTCTTTTTCCATCCGGAACCTACTTCGGTCAATACTATGAGACGAAGCGGACGGTGATTAGGCTTTACGTAGCACGTTTCCTAGCCATCTCAGTAGATGAAGGTTCCTGACCTATAGCTGCTACCTTGACATGGTGGTCAGGCTTGTATATCACGATGACCCAACGACCTATATAGATGGAATGCTTGTTCTTTCGAGATCCTATCAAACGAGGAAGGTCTGTTAGATAGTGGTTAGACAAAAAGCAATTACCCTTACATTTAACATGTTCTTCAAAAATGAAATGATGGATTATGATGGCTTAGATCAGTCATCAGTGGTTATTGGTGATTCAAAATCACGAGATGTATGTCCGACCACACCTTCCATAATATAGGCAAATTTTCGTGGCATGAAAGAGGCCTTACTTAACTGGCCTCAAGCAGACGTCTTGTAGGTTTTACTATCACTCACTAACCCTTCTTTTTCAGGTACCTCAAAAAGACCTAGCCTTCCACGGTACAGGCAGCCAAAAAGTGTTAACCACCCTCACAACTCTGTCAGCACTCAGGTTCCCTCAGACCGATATCTGCCTCTCTCATCCTTATCTTCTAATCTTCCTTTACGTCTCTCAGTTTACAATTCTACATCATTGTTAATTTCTACTAGCTCTGTAGCTTTCGGCACCGATCTCAGTCCACAGAAAAACATCCATGGTCTCCTTAAACCACACTCCAAATTACTGGTTTCAAGCCTTCAATGTCCACATTCTCCATCAACTAGGAAATAAGCTTCATTGGCCAAAACTTTAACAACTAAAATTTCATTTACTTGTGACTGGACCTACACTTACCGTACCGTCTATGTGTTTTAAATTAGTATCAGGCAATGCGAAGAGCAAAGCTGAAAGCTGAACAGTCAAATATAGATTTGAAAAATCTGGTCGAGTCGCTAAGCAACACTTTGCGTAGGAGTAAGAAACAAAATCTTCTCTTCAAAAGCATGATTCAGGTAGGCAGAGATTCGTCTTTTGTTCTCCTTTTTTCTTATTTTTAAGTTATTAATTCCAGTGTGTATTAACAAAACGACACAAAGATAGTTTGCTTGAATCGCATGATATATTTGCTCAATAGATTTCAAAAAGTTTGATTATGCGAGGACCGACCATATCAACTGCCGAAATAAACAATTAGGTCCTTCTGTTTTGTAAGAATTTACCATCTGATAGGGAATGCTAAAATCTGACTGGTTATTTTAGTCGTTGCTAGAGTGGCCTTTAAGGTCACCTATGAAATGTGATATCGATGTTCTTTTGTACAAAGGGTTTAGAGCGATATATGGGATTATTTTTATCAACTATCCTTACCTCAGATTCATCTCCCTATTAGTAGCGTTTAAGTCTCTCTCTCTCGCTCTCTGTCTTCCTTGGAATCAAGTGCTGATACTCACCACTGAACTTCGTCTTATTCTTCATTTAGGTCGAAATGTGTTTCACAACTACAAATCGTACATTGTGTACGATTCATATGATTTGTTATTCTTTTTGTTTTGTCAAAAATCACAATTAGAACTGATTGTCTCAAGTGTATGTGCTCATAAAAATCGAAAAGCATTAAATACATGTCAACTGGTCATTTCATGTTTGCCGTTTGTAAACTATTGGCGTCAAGTTTTCAATCTAATATTCATCTAAATTGGCTACATACCAACATGGAGTATACATGGTCTTTCAATTTTCAACTGTGTAAAGGAAGTATGCGAATTCCGCAACTATACATTTATGGATTACTTCACACTTATCAAAAATACACTTTCATTTGGAATTATCAGTTATTAAGGTGTAAATATTTAACTTTGCCTTTCAAGATTACATAATTTCCTAGAATATTTGATGGCCAAATTATATCGATCAATTTTTAATGTAGTCATCAGGCTTGGAGGCATTACTGTGCACTTTGAATGATGTTAGATGGTTGGAAGCAGCCAGCAGGAAGCTATGGAGTAGAATTCCGTTGGCGTTCAGGACTAAACCAAATGTTACTTTTCGGTGATTAGTCAGTGTACCTAATCCAATCACATAGGTAATCGGTCGCTGCCTGAATACCTCACTGATCAGGTCTTAGACTTCCATGCTAGATGAAATGGGTTTATGTCTCCCAGGAGATATTACTTCCTTTGAGGTTGCAGATAAGCCTTGCTGACAACGACCGACAAGCGCGACACATAGATTGAGGAGTACCTCCTACAGATTTCCTCCAACCATCTAACGTTGGTCAAAGTGATAAATATCTGTTGGCATAAAATACTTGTTAACTTGATGCTGTTTACGATAGCGGTAGGTCTTAGCCTATAAAATTTTGAATAAAGGTGCTTAGACTTCCCATTTGAAGTTCATGCGATGACGTCGATAGGGGGTTGAGGATTTTAGATCACATTGCTCAGAATTGTAGTGGCGCAGATTGCTGTATGCTCTTACTCATATTTTCTGGTTTGCTTTCTACGATTTTTGATATTATTTCCATATTTCGTCTTTTTCTCTTCTACTCTGATGTGTCGATATGAGTTTTGGCCAGCTGAACTGCTACGCAGTTATGGCAGAATTTATACTGTTGACAACTTCCTTATGAAAATGTTGATTATCTTTCTTAGCTATCAGTTCAGAGAGACGTTTAGTCTTCAAAGAAGCATGAGTTATGAACTTGATGTGTTAAGGAATATTTACGGTCATTAGGCTTAGGTTCGTTCGTTGAACACCATTCCCATCAAAAGAAAAACATTCAGAGTTCAAAGTCTAAGTGATTGGCAATCTTATAACTCTCTCCTTTTGAGCGCATCTATCTCTCCCAAATAGGAAATACAATGTAGATAACTAGGCTAAGCGAACTGGTGTTTTAGAAAACTAGACGCTTCCAATGGAATACATTGGTGAAATGAATCCTATTCACTTTATTTGCAAAATTTGTGAATATGACCACATCTTTGTTTTTTGTAGAACAGGTGGCAAGTAAAGCTCGTTGCCGAGACCATAAAGTTATCTTTTTCACCTGATAACTGATTCATGACCCCCCTACTGATTATGGCATAGTTTTAATACAAGAATATTGAAGACAGAAAAATAATGACATATATCAGCATCTTAAATCCTTTTCTATGCACCTAAAATACTGGTAAACGTTGGGTACTTCCCCCAGCGACTCAGATGACCGCACTGAGAAACGTACCATCTTCTAATGAAACATCTAACCGAAGTTTGCTTGTTAGTGACTACAAATATGCTTTAGTTTTTTATGTTTTACATCTAACATAGTGTCTTATGTATAGGGATGTCGACTAAAGTTTACGATAACTGTTTGATGTTCTCCAAGGCTTATTCTTGGATGTTTCATTGCCAAGCTAAGAGACTTCATCAATATCTTCTATCATGTCATGAGTTGTATGTGAAATGTTGAATATTAAGACATATTGTATCTTTGACTGGTACATCTAATGATCAGAATATCTGGTCTATTATGCTTTCTGACTGTTTCTTCGTGAATTTCCAGTTTTTGTTCATCACGAACTGAAATTGCTTGAAAAACCATTGAGAATGAGTGAGCACTGAACAGCTGTCTCATCATAGTGTTGGATCGTCGTAAGTGTGCACCTATGTCGCTGGCACTGACCAAACACAGGACCTTTTGGTTTCACGGTGAGCACGTTACTGTTGGGCCAATGGGTCAGGATCCAATGGTCACTAATTTTCTATACCGATCACAAACCAATTCCGTTACTGAGTATTCGTCCTCATGTTTGACTTGGTTTGATTCATCAATAAAGTTCGCACTATATAGCAAATTGATAGATCTAAGAAAATGTCAATAGTTGGTCTAATGGTAAGGTGGTCGTTACGAAACCTGAAGACTCAAGGTTGCATATCTGTAGGGCAGATTCGTAGGCTCGCGTCCCCATGGAGTTCGATCCTAAAACGAAACGGCTGTCTAGTGCTCTCCAACTGATGCCCTTCCGTACTGAATGCAACCTTGAAATCAATAACTCCCTACAAAACTCTAGACTGAATCTTTAGTTGTTAGTTTTATCAAGACCATTAGAACGATGCATTAGTGAATGGTTGTCTGGCATACATGTGTTCCATTGATTGGTCACTAGAGGGTAATCAACTATCATGTTGTCTGGTTATAATTGCCGATCGAGTTCTATCGATCATTATGCAATGTGGCTACATGACTAGGTAGCTAAGCATCGGGATGCATTTGGATAGATATTAGTTGGACGGAAGCAATCATCAGGAAACCCTAGACCTAGGTTTTGTGCCTGCTGACACTCGTCAGTAAGGCGTATCTGCAACCTCAAGGGGATTGATGTCCCACCTAAGATTGGAACCAGTGTTGTATTTGGCGACCATACCACCGAACCGTTCTGGCCTCGACTGACCTCCTTTAGGATTGGATTAGATAGATTGGTTGGTCACTGGAGGGTAACCAGCTATCAGTTACGGTAACGTCGCTGACTATAAAGTTGGGTGACGTGGGATAGCACTTCCCACCAGGTTGCAGTTACTCCCTACTGATGAGTGCTAGCAAGCAAGAAACTTAGGTTCACAGCTTCTTGCGATTACCTCAATCCAACTAGAATATGTTTAATCCTTTTGATGCTCCTATGCAATTTCTATCCGAACGCTTAGTGAAGAATTTTTCGCTTTGTTCGATCTAAGCAAGATAGTAAAATTACTCTTCAATTTCTTACATTCAAAGATTCCCTCTTTAAATTAAACTATTGATTACGCCTTGGCTTCGAATCTTGACTAACTTCTTACCCAAAATTGGGAAGTATATGAAAATTTGTTCTTCTTCACTGTTAATGGTTCATAATAGACTTTTTAGCCTTCAGTTGTATATTTGAGTTATTACATCACTTATTATCCTCTCTCTTCATATTTCCTATATTCTGTTATTTTATGAGTACTTCTACTGATTCTCATCCCTTTCAATTCACATACCCTTTCTTCACTTAAATATAAACAGGTGGTATGTTTCTATTGTGAAGTGTAGAGACTATAGTTTGGCTTGAAATCTCATTTCTTTCCAAGCATAGATGGTGTTCATTGTTCTCTGAATAGTTACCAAAATGAATTAAGAATTTTATTCCATATAATTGATTCATTGAACATTTGAGTTTGACTTCGGCTAAAGGCACCTCATAAAGTGAAAAGTCCTCCTTTTCTTTTCAAAATCTTGTTCTTCTTGTTGTGATAAAGTTTATTAGAGGTGGGAAACCTATTCATCAACAAAGTTTTCTTTAAAATTTTTCTATTTTCAACACTGTAAATTATTATTTGTATACCCTGTAGGCAGTAGTATATCAAGTGCTCAAAGACTGTCAATGTAAGACATTGAGAGGACTGTTGTTCACTTGGAAGGGATTAATTTTGATCTTTTCCTCTTCTCAAAACTAGATGAACATTTCATTTTGATGATATAGCTGAATGTATGTCATTACTATTTATTGACATACTTGTTATTCTCCGTTGTTCTGTTGGATCGAATTGTTCGACCTCTATTGGTATATGGGCTCGTATACGGATGCCTCGATATTGCATGAATGTTGATTATGATAAGTTGGTTTGTTGTGACGTAGTGGAAAACGCCTTGGTGTTTGAAGCGATGTGTTTGAGGTGTGAGTCGTAGTGGGAACAACATGACTGGGTTGCAGGTACATCCATGTGACGAGTCCGAAATGGGACGAGACATGCGTCCTGGATTCTTCTGCTAGTCACAACCAACCAATTTATCATGAATGTATGTCGTTCATTGGATTGAATTGCTTGGCCATTCTTGTCATATAGGCTCGTAGGCACATGCCTGGATATTCCCTGTATTTTGAGTTTTGATACGTCATACTACCATAACCGTCATAGAAGAAGAGTGTCGTGACTTAGTAAATGATACTCTAATATGACTATAATGCTTAGTTAAGAATATTTAAACGATAACGAATAATTTATCCGTGCAATGGGGTTTTCTGTCTCTTAAGAAAATTTCGGTTCCAAATTAAAACTGTTCTCACAGCTATCGATTCACTGAAACTCTTAGAATGAACGTAAGTTTTTTATGCATGTGTATATATTTTCTTCAACCACGCCTGGTTAACTAGTTTACTAGTTACTAGCCGGTCCTAAGCCCGGGTAAAGAGGGAAGGTTGGGCATAGGGCTAGCAACCCTACCCCGTAAAACAAATCTAACCGCTAAAGAAACTCCAAAGCACAAACAAAATATAAAAAATGAAAACAAACTTATACCCCGCTGGAATCGGAGAGGCGAAATGACGCCAGTTGGTGAAAGCCTTCGGGAAGCCAATTGGCCGATGTGTCTTCTCTCCTCGATGAAAGCGAAAGTAAACGTGGGGACATGGAATGTCCGCACCATGTTTGAACCCAGTAAGGCAGCCCGGATTGCAAAGGAGATGAGAAGGTATCACATCGAAGTGCTTGGGATTTGCGAAAGCAGATGGAATGGGAGTGGACTCTGCAAACTGTCAACTGGAGAATCAATAATCTACTCCGGTCACCCAGACGCCAACCACGAGCACACTGAGGGAGTGGCTATCATGATGTCCTCAAGAGCATCGAAGGCTCTCATGCAGTGGGAACCAATCTCCTCCAGGATCATGACAGCAAGATTCAACTCAAAAGGAAGAAAGGTCACAATCATACAATGTTATGCACCTACAAATAATGCAGAGCAAGAGAAAAAGGAGGAATTCTACAGACAACTTCAATCAACACTGGACAAGACGTCAGTTGGCGATATCAAAATTCTAATGGGCGACATGAATGCCAAACTGGGAGGGGACAACACGGGAAGAGAACTAACCATGGGTCGAGAGGCGCTAGGTGAAATGAATGAGAATGGAGAATTGTTTGCAGAATTCTGCGCATTCAACGATTTGGTGATTGGAGGCAGTGTGTTCAGGCACAAAGATATCCACAAAGCGACATGGATTTCACCAGATGGACACACTAAAAATCAAATCGACTTTATCTCAATCTCAAGAAAATGGAGACGCAGTCAGCCTACTTGACACAAGGTCAAGAAGAGGAGCAGATGTAGGCTCAGACCACTATCTAGTGCAAGGAACCTTCCAAATCAAGTTAAAAGCCTTCAAGGAAGCTGGTGATAGACCACAGTTCAAGTACAACACTCGGAAACTGAAGGATGAAACTACAAAGGAGATCTTCAAGGCAGCCATCAAGACAAAATGGGAGACGTCGAGGGACATCCCTGAAGAAACCTGTGTGGAAGAACACTGGAAGTCTTTGAAAGCTATGTGGAAAGAAACCTGCACAACAGTATTAGGAAGGAAGAAGAAAGAAGACAAGGAATGGATCTCGATGGATACCTGGAAGCTGATAGAGGAGAGGAGGATGGTGAAGCAGAAGATAAACCAGTGCAAGGATGCTCAACGACAAGAGGAACTGAGCACAATGTATAAAACAGTGGACAAAGAAGTGAAGAAGAGTGCACGCAAAGACAAAAGACACTTCTACGAAACACTGGCAAGTGAAGCAGAACAGGCTGCCTGCTGGTGGGAGAGACCTGACGACATTGTATCAAATAACCAGGTTGCTATCAGGGAAGAGACCAACACGGATGAAACCAATAAAAGATGAAGAAGGAAATTTAATTACAAGAGAAGAGAAACAGAGGAAACGATGGGCCGACCACTTCAAGAAGCTCTTGAATCGACCACCACCTGCACTTCGTCCAGAAATACCACCTGCAGCCGCTGAATTACAAGTGAACATAAATCCCCCAACGAAAATGGAAGTCCTGAACGCCATAAAGCTACTGAAATGCGGGAAAGCAGCAGGACCAGATGGAATACCGCCAGAAGCACTGAGAACAGATGCAGAGACAACAGCGGACATGCTCACACCACTATTGCAGAAGGTGTGGAAGGAAGAGAAGGTACCTGCCATTGATTGGAAGAAGGGTTACCTTGTCAAACTGCCGAAGAAGGGAGACCTCAGTGCTTGCAAGAACTGGCGCGAAATCACTCTCCTATCCACCCAGAGCAAGTAAAATATTAAGCCGCATCATCCTGGAGAGGCTTAAGGATGCACTGGATTCAAAACTGCGACCGGAACAGGCAGGCTTCAGGAAGTACAAATCATGTGCAGACCAAATTGCAACGCTTCGCATCATCATAGAACAGAGCATTGAATGGCAATCAGCTCTCTGCCTCAACTTCATCGACTTTGAGAAGGCCTTTGACAGCGTCGACCGAGAAGTAATTTGGAAACTGCTTCATTACTACGGAGTACCGCAAACCTTTATCCGCCTCATTCAACAACTATATGAAGATGCTACATGCCAAGTAATCCACAATGGGAAGCTCAGTGATGCCTTTGAAGTGAAGACAGGAGTGAAACAAGGTTGCCTACTATCACCCATGATATTCCTGATTGTGGTGGACTGGATCATGCAGCAAACAGTAGGCAGCGAGAAGAGGGGGATACGCTGGACGACGGAAAAGAACCTAGAAGACTTGGATTTCGCCAGTGATGACTTGTGCCTGATGTCACATAAACTTGAAGATCTGCAGGCAAAAACTAACAAGTTGACAGAAGCGGCGAGGCAGCTAAGACGGGACTTCAGGTGAATATAGAGAAGACAGAAGTGATGAAGATACCGCACCACCACCATCAACAACAACAACAAACTCCAATCACCGTCAACGGGAGAAACTTAAAGGAAGTAACCTCCTTCACTTATCTAGGAAGCACTGTTTCAACTACAGGCGGGACGGACGAGGACGTCAAAGTCAGAATCGGAAAAGCAAGACAGGTGTTCATTAGCCTGAAACCAGTGTGGAGATCTTCTGCACTCAGCATGCGGAACAAGATACGGATTTTCAACACCAACGTCAAGTCAGTGCTTCTGTATGGTTCAGAGACTTGGCGCGTCACGAAAGGCATTTCCAATAAACTACAGACATTCATCAACAATTGCTTACGCTCGCTACTGAAGATCAGATTGATGGCCAGAAAGAATAAGCAACAAGGAACTCTGGGAACGAACCAACCAAGAACCTATCACGCAACAAATATGCAGGAAGAAGTGGAGATGGATTGGCCATGCACTGAGAAGGCCGACTGAGGACATCACGCGTCAGGCCCTTGAGTGGAATCCCCATGGGAAGCGACGAGTTGGACGTCCGAGGGTGACATGGAGGAGATCGTGCGAGGACGAAATGAGAGGTTGTGGGCTGTCGTGGGACCAGGTTCAAAAGATCTCAGAGAACAGAGGTCACTGGAGGCGTGCTACTGAAGCCCTATGTTCCACTAGGAACCCAAGGGACTAATAATAATAATAATAATAATAATAATAATAATAATAATATATTTTCTTCATTTTAAAAGTATATGGATGGTATAATCTGGTCTTCAGCAATAATTACAGTAATTTAAAATGTTTCTTGTGATTCATAGAAATTTTAATGACAGATCCTATCTTGTTTCTCCTCAGAATATAAAAATATATTTCTGTAAATTAAATGAAACTGTAAAGCAATTTACTGAAGGATCAGCTGGTCCATTGGTTTCCGATGAGTCTGAAAAATGGGAGCTGTCGAATGATATCAACTTCAAGGTGAGTTAAATCGATAGGCGCGATTCTCAAACTTTTTCTTACTAAAGCTATTAAGACGGCTTTCTACACCACACAACTCTGTCTATCATTTTTCAGTCGGCCAACTGTTGTTGCTCAGATAAAAGATAAAGTATCTAGTTTTGCCATTTCTGTGTATATTTGCAAGTTTAGCTGTTCATGTGAAGAAAGCTATATAGGGTGTACTACTAGACAACTTAACAAACGTGTTGTTGAGCATCTACTTTCATGGTTGGGAAAGGAACAGATAAAATCTATCAGAAGTTCGGTTTTATCTCACCTTGTTGATAGTGGTCACTTTGTAGATAAGAGTAATGCTTTCACGATTATTCACCGCATACCATCTCATCTTTCATAATGTATTCGAACTCGTTTTTTACACATAGTAGAAGCTATGGGAATTCAAGCTGATAATCCTAGTCTTTGTATCCAGAAGAAATTTACGCATCCTTTATCTCTCCCTTGGCCAGGTAATACTTAATTAATAACTTCATCATCCAGTTTTTTTCCTACCCCTTTCACATACTTACTATATTTGTCTAGGCTTTGTTAATCCACTAACCTCATCGTCCAGTATTAAGTAACTTTTATTTTCACAAGCTTTTGACCCACTTTGATGATCAAAGTGTCTACATTTTCATACTGCTTTCTTGGTTCTTATGATCATCATCATTATCATCTATATTGGATGTGCTTTAGTCAATGTTATCACTTATATCATTATTACTATTTGTATTATTATCACCATTGTTATTTAAAACTTTTATCATATTGACTGACAAATCTACATGTTTAGTTTGGTTTTTTAATGTATATTAAGCTATTTGTGTTAGAGTAAAGTCTGAAGCGGATCTAACTGAAAACAATATTGTTCGCTTATATGTCTTGTTCTAATTTTTGCATAATGCATTGCTTAGTTGGCATAAGATTTTCTGAAGGAATTTGGTTGGTTTATGCGCCACTTAAACAAGCAAATTTGTGAAGTAGTCGGTTGATAATTTCTGAGACATCTTCAATATATGGTAAAGTGATTCGTTTTGTTTTGGTTGAAATAATTATCATGATACGTATTCTGTTGATAGAAATCTCTTGATGAGGTTTACTGTATGTCATTTGATGATTTGAGATAGCCATAGTTTGATAGACTAGGTGTTAACTTTGAATACTTCGTAATAGGGGGTTTTCTTCTGATTTTCACAGTATTTGAGTGTAACGATGTGAAACCTGAAGGTCCTGGGTTCGACCCCTGGCCGGGTCGTGGGTGCGTACTGCTGAGGAGTCCCATACTAGGACGAAGCAGCTGTCCAGTGCTCCCAGATTTGACCCTAGGTGATATGGCTCAGAACCGAAGTCAGTGGCGCAGATGTATACACACATTATCCTCATCTTAACAACGCTATACCGAATCTCACCATTTTGTCACTCCTCTTTCCTTTCTTCTCGTACTTTATATTTCTTTTGACTGCATTCACTTATCTTCATCCTTCACCTCACTACCTTTTTACTAGATGTGCTGATATGAGGTGTGGCAACTCGGACCGTTATGCAGTAATGCCTGGTCCTATGTTGATAATGATGATGATGATGCTACGATATGTTTTAGCACATGAGAGTATTGCTAGTCAAATTATTCGAATCTTTGAAACTGTTATCATTCAACTAAACATTTAAGAATGAAATAAGCTGCTTATATCTCTTTGGGTTTTTATAAATCGTTTTTACAGCAATTTATGAATGAATTCTCTTATCGGATTGATGTTCTATTAAAAGAAGTACTAAATAATCAAAAATTGAATGTTTACATTTGAAAGAGAAAATGATTACCCAAGAAAATGAAGGTAAACGTCGACGTCGATGCATCGAAGAATTACGTGTTCATCTTCATGTTGTTCTTCAGGAACAAACAAATCTTCGGAATGATTTGGTAATTAATTTAGCATAATAGTTGTTGAATTTATCGTTTAACTTCAATCTATGCCATTAGAGGTTCCCTGTTCTTTATTGTTTTCATTTTGTTCAAGTGGAGTAATCATATAAACTGTTGAATATACCTATTTAGACATTTAGATAAAGACTGATTGAGCGAAGAAATCATTTTTCTTTTCAATTAGGTCTTCATCTTGGGCTCTACAATTTAATCAAATTACCAATCACGTGGTAATGTTTCGGAAATAATGATGTAAATAATCAATAGAGTTACTAAAATAGGAAATATGAATACTGATAGAAACAAGGGGAAGGGGAAGAGGTGTACAAAGTAAACCTAGAAGTTATATCATGTTGACGGCCACGGTAATGAAAGTAGTCGAACAAACTTCTTTTGGATACGAAGGATAGGTTTGTAAAGGTGGATTGCAATCGCCTCTACTATGTGAAGTAACCGAGTGCGTAATCCATGAAGTAAATTAATTGGAATCTGATGGATGATTTTGAAGGCTTTTCCAGTAACCACTTGATGTCCTGTGTCAACTAAGTGTGCAAGTATGAAGCTCTTTATAATTCTAATCTGTCCCTTGTTCAACCATGATGGGTGGTGCCCAGAAATTCGACTGTCTCATTGTATGCCCAATGCAACTAGCTCTAAAGGAGCAGTTGCATTGATGAATGCACATAGAAGTGGCAGAATCAGGCAATTTGTCTTTATTTCTTGCACCTTGAATCCGGCGGTTCCTGTCTCTACCAATATTCATATTTCCTATTTTAGTAACTCTATTGATTATTTACATCATCATTTGCGAAACACCACCACGTGATTGGTAATTTAATTAAATTGTAAAACTATGCATATTAGTGTAGAGCTCCAGATGAAGACCTAATTCGAAAGAAATATAAAATGTTGTCTCTCTGGCCCATTTGAAGTTAATAGTTAGTGATTCCTACCATATATTGTTACACAGTTTTCTTCATAACTTTGTTGATTCAAGATTCTTATTGTAATTTCATTCTTTTTATATATGCTCCTAACCATTTCAGTCTGTTTGTGGACTTGACTAAGGATCTGACTGCTAACTTCAATTTTACCAAGTTACTAGCGTGGTTGAACACCAACCGTGCGCTCTTGGTCATGTACCCATATGTCGTTTACTTGTGCTCTGGTATTCACTGGCCTCAGTGTTTTAGTGAGACATATTAAGGAGTGTATATCTCACCTGAATTTATGGTGATACAATTTAGCAGGTATACAATTAATGAAATATTTTGGCACCAATAACTTCATCATTATCTATTGAAGTACTCTGCTCAGTAGAGTAAACGATCGCTTTTCAAAGCTGCCAGAAGTAATTCAAACTTTCCTAAAGGCTAATTCGTTGTAGAGATGATTGAAAAGATTTGCGGCTGAGAATGAAGATAATGGTAGTTTGGTGTTCTCTGAGCTATGATATTTTGTCTCGGATGTTTCATAACTACGCTTGGTAATATCCTCAGCGCTAACTTCATGCGGAAGTGAAGTATATACTCGTGCTACACAAATGTTTAGCCAATGTTTTTATGAATCTTTTATCTTGACCAGTTGTAAGTTTGGGAAGAGAACTCTACTATATCTTGACCTCTTTGGCCTTCATTTTGTTCGGTCACGCTGGTAGAGAACCTTTGCTAGGGTGAGGTAGTGCTAGTTTTTACTATGACACTGCGCTTTATTATCAATTTGCTTGTTCATTTTGCCCTTGGTTGGTGGATGGCTGCAGATTGTAGATTGGGTTCATATTCATATGCCAGTTGATTGACCTTTTGTTGGGATGCCATGCTTCTAGGAATTCTCTTCCAGCTTTTGTGCATGCTTTTCGAGGGATCTCTACATTCTGCATGATAAAATATAAAAGCTTAGAGAACTCCAAATATGCCATAAGCCATGGTAGATTTACACAACACTCAATGCTATTAGTTTTCATTTTACATGATTCATTCCTCATGATATATTCCCATTACTATTGAGTGCCATCTATGGACATTTACAGTTGCACTAAGCACAATCACCACAGAAACATTTTTAGCATAAGTGATGGGTTATTGATTATTTGTTTGACGATAATGACGAAGGCTGATGAATTTCACTATCTACTGAGACTATTTGAGGCTACTCTTCAGTGCTTCCTCTATTATGGAGGCTCTTTCGATACTGTGTTTTAGACGTAAAATGAAGTTGATCGGAAGCATAAGTAGTCTGTATACTAAGGATAAATAGTTTTCCTCATTAATATATGGCTGAAATATAGGTAACATCGAGGCACCCCCTCACCAGCCCATATGCCGTTAGAGACTGGTCTCTTCGGTGCAATCATTGAGGGAACAATATGAGCAATAACATTAAAACTATACCCGTTGCACAAGAAGTTGCTGCCGAGGCTCGGTGGTCTAGTGGGTAACACGCTAACGTTTGGAGAGATCGGTGATGAGTTCTAGTAGGGAGAACATCATTCACTGGACGGCAAGTCCATCCAGCTGACGAGTCCCAGATAGAACGAAACGTGTGTCTTAGATTCCACTGTTAGCCACTACCCACCATTAGTATGTATTTAAACCCATGTGATATCTAGACACACGCTCAGCAGCCCATATGCCGATAGAGACCAGTTTCTTCGGTTTAATCAACGACGGGATAATACAAGTAACAACATAAACAATCTTGACACTTTGAGTTATTCAAGGCAGAAATGTCCTCTTCTCAATTCAGATTGATAGTTGTAGGTTTGGGAGGGAAAAAGCAAGGTGTGATGCAACAAAATACTTGCAGTTATACTTGTTTCTTTGCATATGTTACACTGTTACAGCATCGACTAGGCCACCTATCAGTTTACCTTTAATTGTTTAATATACTGACAATGCATCTCTTTTCTGTGAACTAAATCTGATAATGCTGATCATCTCAGTTTGTCAGCCATAATAATAAATCACTTGGTTAGAGTTCGACATTGATGAAACAGACTGGTAGAACATGAAAATTGACGGACATTTTTTTTATCACTTCATTCCTCTATATGGATTTATGAGGTGAATACTTCCTTTTTGGGCACTATTCTATGCGATGTTCTGCTTAAATATGGCATCAACATTCCAATGTAGGATTTGAAATGGTCATCTTCCACGAGGTGGCTTGCAAGTTTTCTCTAACTGAAGTTAATTAGTTATATATATGTATAAAATGATACTGTAAACGACCAGTATTATTATTATTATTACTTAGTCAATTTTCAAGGCAATAAAAACAATCTGAAGCTGAATGACTTTTAATTCCCTTTCATATTGCTCTTAACTTGCCATATGTTAATGCTTTTTTTTCACTTGAATTTTGACAGATAACAAAAGATAAATTGGTTGAAAGCTTAAAATTAAATGTAATCCACTCACAACAAACTATTATAAGTCAACGTACTCAACTCAAAACTCTACTTACTGAAAGAAGAAAAATGTTAAACAATTTCAATCATTTGAAACAAGCTCATAATCATGTCATACAAGAACTGAGTACAATAAAAGAAAGTTTTTTCAATTTAAAGTCTAGAAATGAGGCATTAATGAATAAGTCGACAACTATAGTTAAACAAACGAAAACATTCAATCGTCTATGTGCAGTGAGTAAAATTTCAAGCAGTTTAATTTGTTCTTGATGTCATGTATTTAAAGCTAAGAATTGCTGCTGATATACAATGTATTATTCTCTGCTGAGGTGAACATTTTTGTTGAGTTCGGAATCAGAAGAAACTTTTTTCTATCGTCAACTTTTTTTTACTGGATTCAGTTCATAGTTTAGATGTAATGGTCGCATATTCGCTGAATTTTCTACAGACAGCTCAATCTGTCGTTTGAGTCATATACAACTATAAGAGAAGGTCGTTAAAACGAGAAGATAGAAAACGATTACAGGGTTTTCATCATACATGTCTTCGTAGTATTGCTTGAATATGGTGGAATCACCCATCATGTGAACAGTGTTGAGGTCAGGCGAAAGGCAAGTCAGTTGATGAGGTTGTGAACCTTAGTTGACTGAGATGGCTTGGACATGTACTGAGCATGTTGAGCCACGGCCTACTTTGATATTCAGTGCTAGAGGAAGTTGGATTAGGTTGTAAGTGTTGAGGGCAGCGAGAACTCCCTGACTGTCGTTCTAAACCATGTGGAAGGGGGGGGATGAAGACTACCTGGCTAGAGTCCTTGAGATAATATGAATCATAGGTCGATGACTTTTAATGACATGGCTTAAAATCACTCAGGATAGTGTAAAAGTATTCACTGCTTGAAATCTTCTAAAGCTTGAATATTTGCACTAACCTTTCTGTTCAAACTGCTTATTGTCTCCCACAAATTCGTTAGGTTTCGGATAACTATGGATCTTAGGATCTTGGACAAAATATCAGTGGATGTGAATCCCCTACGGTTGCCACAATAAGACTTTTTCCCTTTTTATAGACTGATACGATCAGTGAAGTGGACCAGTCTGATAGGACTACCTCTGATTTACATATGACCACCTAATAATTCCGTTACTCTACTCAATATCCTACTAATTTCACCCTTGAAAACTTCTGGTCACAAACCGTCGGGTTCTGCTGCTCAGTATTGCTTCATGTTAAAGGTAACTCTTTCAACTCCCAGGACAGTTGATGGACCGACATTAGTGTCCCATTCAGATTCGGGCTGGATGCATCAATAACTGAGGTGTTGCTGTTTGTCAGTTCAACTGTGCTTCACGTAGTTCAATCAGACATTCTAGACGTTTGTCTTGAGTTGTTATGACCGTCCTATCCTTTTAGGTGATGGTTTCTGTGACCATCGTCTTCTCCTTGTTGGTACCCTTAATGAGCCTAAATAGTTTTTGATTATTATCTACTGCAGATGCCTCCTCCGTCTCTTTCACTCGCGCCACCCTCCAACGATCGCGATCGACGCGAAGACTCTTGGTCAACCTATACCTACGTTGCTTTTGCTGTTCATCGTCGTCACAGCCAGCAAGCTGGAACCAGTCTTCTTGCTTTAATCAGTTCCAATGACGTTGTGAAAATTTACTGACGTTTGCTAGCCTTCGGGTTTAGGTTACCAACTGTCTTTACTGCTGTTTTTACAGTAGACTTAATATCACGCCAGATTCTGTTCAGGATGAGGATTGCCGTCACGTTCAGATCAATGCTTTGCTATCTTTTTCCTAGATACATACTTAATGTTCTTATCATCAAGTAGGCCACGGACTGGCCTTGCTATCCACTGTTTCTTGCAACCAGTAAGGCGCAGACGTACACGAGCTCATACTAAAGCGTGATAGGAGTCCAAACAGACATTCCAGAAAGAGTGGCAATCTTCCACCGACCCTCTTCAATGATGCCGTACAACAGTATGATCTACCTATGTCCACCGTTCATCTGAAGCCAAAGGACTCCATTGGATACAGTGTCCATCCTTAAGCTTGAAGTTATTGCTGGCCAGAAACATGTAATTTTCAGGACAAAATTGCGACAGATGATCACCATGGTCGGTTTGTTCGTAGGTGACTCCGTAGATCCTGCCAAGACACCTTACCGGCTGGCTCAGCTTTCCTGATTGAACGTTGAAGTTGCCTCTCATTATAAATATACATAAACGTTTTGCTTTCTGTAGTAAAAACTGACAGCTTTTCATAGAATCCATCCTATGCATTATTCGAACTGCAGACGGTGGGTGCGTACGCGGAGATTAAGAACAGGTATCACTTGGTCTCACGAACCTTCCTGGTTCTTACAAATTTATCCAGTCATATAGCATACAAAGGCTTTTCAACTGGTCAGGAATGAACTTTTGCTTCTACAACTCAATGCTATGCCTTCGCCAGCGAGTCCGTGAGAGCTTGCTCTGTTGGGTCTGTAGATACTCGTAAGATGGATTTTGAAAATTCGCTACTATGGTCAGGTGAGGTCTACTTAATAACGTTACTCGGGTCCTATACACTTGTCTCAGAGACACAACATACAACAATGGCTCAAGATCCTGGAGTTCTGGCGAGCGACGGTTGTACTTTGATTTGGCATAGGGTTGGGATGTTGAAAGCTTCAATATCAGATAGATGACAGGAGCTTAGGAGACTAAGAATGAGGTTTTGAAGATGTTGGTCTTTCCAATGATCGTAGAGTCAGAGGTTGAGGAAGTTGTAGGAGGTTTAATATTGATGTCAGAAGGTGAAGGCATAAGAGAAGATAGGTTTATGGAGGGTAGGCTATGTCTGATTGGATTCTGTATACTGCTGGTAGCATGCGGTGGTTGAGACATCCCAGCTGCTCACACCGTGAAAGGCTAGTTCTCTCCGAGGTAAACTGGAAAAGAAGGGTTAGTGTGTGATGACAGAGCTTAAGAGACTTTTGCTTCAGGTCTGTCATGCATGGCCTTTTTCGAAGTTTGAGGCTTCAGTTTTTCTTTCTCTAATCCGACTATGAACCCATATAGCGCCTACCACTACACCGTAGCTTGAAGTGGGCTATTTTTAAGGCCTACGTTTTCTGATCTTTTTTCCTATAGAAAAGATAGTATTGGTGTAACACTGGTTGTCATCCGTAAGGAACACTTTACTGATGTTGCTCCCCCATCCAGCTACACGGGTTGGTTCTCGGACCCCATTATAGCGTAGTAATTTACATCATTGTGCTGACTGGTTATTATTTTAACATCACTCAACTAACATGTTATGGTATGGTAGGATCTTGTGAAACTAATCGTTTCACCAGTATAGCTCGTTGGGTCGTTCACCACCGAAATAATTAAACTAGACCTATAAGTTCAAACAGAATAAGTCATTAATGTAGCTTTGTTGACGTTAGTACATCATTCTCTCTTGACATTACCCGCTCATATTTCCTTGACAACTTTTTAGCCTTCAGTTGTACATTTGAGTTATTACATCACTTATTATCCTCTCTCTTCATATTTCCTATATTCTGTTATTTTATGAGTACTTCTACTGATTCTCATCCCTTTCAATTCACATACCCTTTCTTCACTTAAATATAAACAAGTGGTATGTTTCTATTGTAAAGTGTAGAGACTATAGTTTGGCTTGAAATTTCATTTCTTTTCAAGCATAGATGGTGTTCATTGTTCTCTGAATAGTTACCAAAATGTATTAAGAATTTTATTCCACATAATTGATTCATTGAACATTTGAGTTTGACTTCGACTAAAGGCACCTCATAAAGTGAAAAGTCCTCCTTTTCTTTTCAAAATCTTGTTCTTCTTGCTATGATGAAGTTTATTAAAGGTGGGAAACCTATTCATCAACAAAGTTTTCTTTAAAATTTTTCTATTTTCAACACTGTAAATTATTATTTATATACCCTGTAGGCAGTAGTATATCAAGTGCTCAAAGACTGTCAGTGTAAGACATTGAGAGGACTGTTGTTCACTTGGAAGGGATTAATTTTGATCTTTTCCCCTTCTCAAAACTAGATGAACATTTCATTTCGATGATATAGCTGAATGTATGTCATTACTATTTATTGACATACTTGTTATTCTCCGTTGTTCTGTTGGATGGAATTGTTCGACCTCTATTGGTATATGGGCTCATATACGGATGCCTCGATATTGCATGAATGTTGATTATGATAAGTTGGTTTGTTGTGGCGTAGTGGAAAACGCCTTGGTGTTTGAAGCGATGGGTATGAGGTTTGAGTTTTAGTGGGAACAACATGACTGAGTTGCAGGTACATCCATGTGACGAGTCCGGAATAGGACGAGACATGCGTCCTGGATTCTTCTGCTAGTCGCAACCAACCAATTTATCATGAATGTGTGCCGTTCATTGGATTGAATTGCTTGGCCATTCTTGTCATATAGGCTCGTAGGCATATGCCTGGATATTCCCTGTATTTTCAGTTTTGATACATCATACTACCATAACCGTCATAGAAGAAGATTGTTGTGACTTAGTAAATGACACTCTGACGTTTGGAGCGATTGGTTGGACGGTAGAATCTTCGAGTGGGAAAAACATCACTCACTAAGAGGGAGGTAAATGTAGCTGATAAGTCTCAAAAAGAACGAAATACGCATCTTGGATTCCACTGCTAGCCACTAGCCGTAATCAACATTATATGGATAATTAGTTGAATACGCTTAGTCTCTATGAATGTAATGATTCGTTTATGTAAAACTCTGCTCTTTCGCATATCTTTATATTCATTGTATACCGTTTATTTTTACTTGTGTAATCCCGGTGTAGTATATTAGAACAAATAATAAAATAAACAAATATTTTGTATTATTTCTCAACGTTTCGATCTTGCTAGGAAGATTCTTCTTAAGAGTATGAATCTGACATTAAGTTTTCAGGTTAATATTCAAGTTTTGTTACAGAAAGTGATGACCTTTACAATCATCCAATTATTACATAGTGATATGGCGTGAATAAGCAACTAGGTCAGAGAGGTTTTTTCTTTGCGCAAGTAAGGTGGAACAAAAATAGGATGAGGAAAAATTTTTTAGTTCGTCTATTATACTATCAAAATGTATCTCAAATATTTTTTCTAATGCATCCGTTCCCGTTTTTTTTAATTATTTTATAATGCACACAAAACAAGAATGATAGGACTGATCATTTAGAAAAGCTAATTATCTTTCTGGCTGATGAATTGAGTAAGACTATTAAAATTGTATATCAGCTGTGCACAACGATACCGACTGCTACTACTACTGGTCCTATAACTAAACTAATGAACATTACCAGTACGCATCAGGAGAACGATGAATACACCTTGCTCGACAGTAAGTCGACATGAACAACATTCTCTTTGTTCACTAACTAATCGCGTTTATTCAATTTTTATTTACTTTAATATAAATGTAAAACTTGGGCACTGTGGTCGATTGTAATTCCATTTTAGTCTGTTTATTAGAAATATCACACAATGAAACAGTAGCATTTACTGGATAACAACATTTCGGACACAATTTATTGTCCATATTCATATCAGGTAACTGACTCCACAACTTCGAGACAGTCTTTATATATTCCTAATTTTCTCTCCTTCTCTATGATGACAATGGTAGTAGAATTCCCCATATATATGGGACAGGTACAGAATCATTTCGATTGCATGTGTTCGGTGTTGATTCGATAAACAATGATGATTCGGTTATCAATCTCTCCTTCCCTCCATCCAACTAAGTTAGTTTTCAACACTGTTGCCCTATCCCACCCTACTATGTCGTTGTGTGTCATCGCATGCACAGCTACAGCCGAGCTTTTCTCTAGATTTCTTACCTTATTACGATCTACTAATCTTGATTTAGCCAAGTAATGAACAAATCTGTCTACATCTACAAGGTGAACGAGCATACAGAAACAGGGCCATATGAGGAAATTAAGAAGTCAGTGGATATTATTATGAATAAAGTCAAGAAATCGACAGGGGATCTGATACGCCAGATGAAGCCATTTCTAGGTGAGTCAAGTTGGTTTAATTTAATGCCGAAAACTAATAATCCCAGTAGAATGTATGGTACTATTAAGATTCATAAACCAGGTTATCCCATCAGGCCGATAGTAGATTTTAGAAACACCCCGACTTACGAGTTGTCTAAATATTTAGCAATGGTGTTAGGTCCAATAAGAAATCACTCAAAGTCTCGACTTACTAACTCTTATGACTTAAAGCATAGGTTAGACGACAGTGAAAGAAACGGTTAGTTTTGACATAACTAGCCTTTACACAAATATACCGACTGACATGGCTGTAGAGGCAGTTCGAAATGGGCTTAAAGATGACAAAGAACTTACGCAGCGAACTAAACTGCCGATCGAGGAAATCATACTAGGAGTATGATTGTGCCTAACATCTACAGTTTTTAAGTTTCAAAATAAACTATATAAACAAACTGGTGTTGCCATGGGATCACCAATATCCCCTATCGTCCCAGACACATTTATGGATAGTTGGGAACAGGTAGCCCTTCAAACATTTAGTCCTACTCCAAAGATATGGTTCCGATTTGTAGATGATACTTTTACAGTACTGAAATCGGAACACATCAATAGGTTCTTGGCACATATAAATACAGTAGTAAATGAAATCCAATTTACCTGTAACTTAGAAAGTGAAGAAGGTGAGCTAGCAATGTCGGATTGCAAGATTAAACGAACACAAGACGGAAATTTAGAGACTAGTGTCTATAGGAAACCTACCCATTCGAATCAACCCTCCCCATTTCAGTTAAAGTAGGCCTAGTTAAATGCTTAAGTGATAGAGCAAAAACGTTTACTAGTAGATAGGAAAATCTGCAACAAGAAATTAGACACACCAAGAATACCCTACGTCTCAATAATTACCCATCAAAATTTATAAATAAATTCATAAGAAATAAAAAGAAAAATATTAGCAGTGGTAATAGTAGTAATACAGGTGTTATTAATAATAATTCCACTACTAATGGTAATAACAGTGACAGGGTTAAGAGAGAATTCAAAGCCTCTGCTGTGTTTACATACAAGGAAGGCACCTCAGAAGCACTTCGGAGAATTTTCAATATAGCTGGGATTAAAGTGGCATTCAAACCAACAAACTCACTTAGAAACAAGCTTTGTAGGTTAAAAGATCCCATCGATGCAATTAAGCAAACTAATCTGGTTTACCAGATCCCTTGCAATGATTGCGAGGTCAAGCACATTGGTCAAAGCAGTCGACCAGGGTCGATTAGAATAACAAAGCACAAAAAGTTAGCTAAATCAAGATTAGTAGATCGTAATAAGGTAAGAAATCTAGAGAAAAGCTCGGCTGTAGCTGTGCATGCGATGACACACAACGACATAGTAGGGTGGGATAGGGCAACAGTGTTGAAAACTAACTTAGTTGGATGGAGGGAAGGAGAGATTGATAACCGAATCATCATTGTTTATCGAATCAACACCGAACACATGCAATCGAAATGATTCTGTACCTGTCCCATATATATGGGGAATTCTACTACCATTGTCATCATAGAGAAGGAGAGAAAATTAGGAATATATAAAGACTGTCTCGAAGTTGTGGAGTCAGTTACCTGATATGAATATGGACAATAAATTGTGTCCGAAACGTTATCGAGTAAATGCTACTGTTTCATTGTGTGATATTTCTAATAAACAGACTAAAATGGAATTTATTTACTTTAAATTGTTGCAGGTGACTTGCTAGTTAATTACTGCGACATGATTATGTGTACGTTTGTAAAAAAAGTATCCGTAAACCTGAATCAGTATTCCTTTCTGTATACTACTTTCAAATACAAGATACTATTAGATGCAAGTAACTATTGGACTCTAGGCTTGAGGTTTAATAGTGAATGTTTTCACCTATGCAAGTTATTTGCAAAAGGAGGGAATTATAATTTAGAATAAAGACTAGCACTTGTATGATTCTCAGTTCACGTTAAGAGTAATACATCTACGTGAAACTCAGATGCGAAATGCAACCATGGTTTTTGTTATTGACTGTAACTTTTTGTCGTTGACTCAACCGAAGTGATCGGTCTATGCTGGGATATAGGCTGCTGCTGAGATGCCTAGATATCATCTGTAATTTCAGTTTGACAGTAATGATGGATCTGTTATTCAGATCATCAGCGGTGGAACTCATATACCAATAGAGACCAATCATTTAGATCTAATATACTGCAGGAAATTACAAGCAATAACATCAATAATGTACCATTCGCATAAGAAGTGGTTATCGTGACCCAATGGCCCAGTGGATAATGCTGGGGGATTTAAAGTGATTGGTCATGGGTTTGACTTTCAGTGGAAGGAAAATCAGTTACTGCAAACAAATGCATCCAGCTGACGAAACGCACTTCCTGGATTCTACTGCTAGCTACCTCCATCTTTACTGATAACTGTGGCTTCCTGTGAAAATCAGAATGTTTAGACTAACAGTTGCTTGATATCAGTAACGAGGTGAGTGGGATAAATGTGCACCATATCCTTTTGACTCACACGTACAATTAGAAATCACTTACACTAATCAATAATGCTTACTAACCTTGTCCGTTTACAAGTAACTGGCCGATTACAGGGTAACAAGAACATTTTACTGATATAAATCACGCTTGGTAAACCATTGATGAACTCGACCAAGATTGAAAGAAGCTATTGTCTGACCTTTGTGTTAACCTTTATACAGCAGACTTGACAAGTTACTTGTTCCCATCACTTGTGGAAAAATCTTTAGACATACTTTTGTGATACTCCGTATACGGTTAGTTGAAGATGTTTAATCTAGTTACTAAATGAACGATAAAATAATTGACAGTTGGCTCACCTGAAACGGAAAGAAGACAATATTGAACTGAAGAGGGTTTATCCCGATCGAAAGAATGAAGATATCCATCCAGAGACATAACTCTTGAGTTTAGATATAATGTGTGCCCCCTTGAGGCATTTAGACAAAATAGCAAGTCAGTAGTGCGGGATTAACCAATAGTAAAACAGCGTTCTTAAAAGCAATGAAATTGAGCGATACACATGGGGCAGGAAAAGGCGAGAAAAAGATGGCTCAAATTCTCCAGAATATAAATTTATACAATTTAAGCATAAAACATTCATGTTACTCAGGCTTGTATTTTGTCAATTCAAAGCTGGTCAACCATTTGAATTATTCGTTAGATTATTATTTGTCCTTTGGGTTCTTAGTGGAACATAGGGTTTCAGTAGCGCGTCCCAATCTCACTGTCTTCTCTGCAGTCTTTTCAACCTGGATCCACAACTGAATAGAAACTTTCATTTCCTCCTCACACAATCTCCTCCATGTCACTCTCGGACGCCCAACCCATCGTTTTCCATTTGGGTCCCACTCAACGACCTGGTCTGGAGAGTGATATCCACCAAACAATCTTCTCAGTGCATTCCCAAGTCATCTCTTCTTCCTTCTGCATATTTGTTAGGCGATAGATCCTTGCTTCATCGGTTCGTTGCCAGGCCACAGTTCCTCCTTGCTTATTCCTTCTGGCAATCTAATCTTCATCTCCAGTATGAAGCGAGCGTAGGCGGCAGCTGTTCATATATGATGCCTACAGTTTGTTGAGAATGGTTTATGTAACGCGCCAAGTCACTCAGTCATCACATCGAAACACTGACTTGACTAAATTAGTGTTGAAAATTCGAACCTCATTCACGCTTTATGCTGAGTGCAGTGCAGTTCAGTAGATCTCCACACTGATTTCAGGTTAATGAATGCCTGTCTTGCTGTCTTTCCGATCCTGGCTTTGACATCCTCTTCTGTTTCTGTGCCTCCTGTAATTGAGACAGTGCTGCCTAGGTAAGTAGGTGGGTAGGTAAAAGAGACAACTTCCTTCAGATTTCTCCTGGTGATTGTTGCTTATTATTGTTGTTGTTGGTTGGGTATCTTCATTACCTCTGTCTCCTCTACGTTCACCTGAAGGAAATCCCATCTTCTCTGCCTCTCCTACCAACTTGTTAGTTTTCGCCTGTAGATCTTCGAGTATATGCAATACAAAACAATGGACATAAATCATCATCGGCGAAATCCAAAACTCTTGGAGTTTTTTCATCGTTCAGACAGCGTTTGCCCATCTTCTCACAGTTTGTTGCATGATCCAGTTCAGTCGAGTCGACCACAGTCAGGAAGGTAATCCGTGATAGTAGGCAGCAACCTTGACTTATTCCTATCTTTACTTCAAAGGCATACCTGAACTTTCCATTGTGAATCACTCGGCATGTAGCATCCTCGTATAGTTGCTGTTGAATGACGTTGATAAATGTTTGTGGCGTTAAAACCGTAGTGCTGAAGCAGCTGCCGAATTACTTTATTATCGAAGGCTCTTTCGAAGTCAATGAAATTGAGGTAGAGAGTTGACTGCCATTCTATGCTCTGTTTTGTTATGATATTTGGATCATTAGGATGCCAAATATTTAAGTCAGAACACTGTATTTAAACGGGGTAATATTCACCGACAATATGACTAATCCGCTGGTGACAGCGTGTAATTCTAAAGGTCAGACGTTCTGACATTAGAACCGAATAAATAAACATTCCTTAATCTCGCCTCAAAAACGGTAATATGAGACAGTAACCAGCAGTTTTTCAACAATTTTTAGATAGACTTAAAAAATTAATCTATAGGCTTGATTGAATTTTACAATTTACGAATAGATCGTCTCACTTTAATATATCAAATTATACCAGTATGGATTTTGACAGAGATTTTGACAAAGATTTTCTACCTGACTGAAGAAAAGTGTTTTAAGTGATCTTGTTAAACGAAATGATGCCGAAAACATGAACTGTAGAAGGCATCAACAGACAGTTTTTTTTGTTTTTGCTACCCATAGATCCAATGAATCATGACTCGAAATCCACGCTGCTTAAGAGACCAACTAAACGGAACCTATATCGCTCTTAACAAGTTTATGAGTTCAGCTTGTTAGTTTGTTTGAACCTTAGGTTACCGAAAAATTTCCATTGAATGTATTATATCAATACCATGTAACTATTCCAGAAATAGTTAGCCCAAATTTCAGTTTTTCGTACTGGCTGAATGAAGAAATTACCATCACCAAAATTACGGATACTTTTCTATCCATCCCCTCTTTCAGAACAGATAATAACCTGACAACAGCTGGTTGCTGGATGTTGTTCTCTTTTAATACTGCTATTAATAACATTACTGAAATGCGATAATTATTTCGTTTAAAACTATTGTACAGAGGGTAAATTCGTAACTATATTATATCCTGAGGATTTCATACTGCATAAAACATATTGTCTGGAGTAAAGGAATCAGTTAGAGGAACAAAGGAAACCTGGGAGAACTGGACAGCTGTTTCGTCCTAGTATGGGATTCTTAAGCAGCGCGGACCCACAGCCCCCCCCCCCCCACGGATCGAACCCGACACCTTCAGGTTCCGTGGCCAGCGCGTTACCATTCAGCCAGTGGGCCGGAGCCCAAGGGTCCATATTTTCAACTCCTGTTAGTTCACTATATAGCGCAACCGCCACCCAATATCATCGTTGAATAACTGTTCTCACGACCATCAGGCTTTGACTCCACTGGTCATGAATTCTCATTGGAACTTCGGGAATACCTCTGGAAGCTAGTCACGAATGAGGACCAGCTCAGTGGCTCGATGGTAACGTGCTGGCCGCGGAACCTGAAGGTCGCGGGTTTGAGCCCTGGCGAGGTCGTGGCTGCGCACTACTAAGGAGTCCCATACTAGGGCGAAACAGCTGTTCAGTGCTCCCGGGTTTCCTTTGTTCCTCTAACTGATGTCAGTCTACGATGAATACCAGCTTGAAATAATTCCAAATCTCCACAACTCCCTCAAAAAACTCAATAAAGGAATCATCATATTGTTTGGTTACTGGAGAGTAAACAACTTCATATTAACTGGTCTTACTCCTAATTGCTGATAGAATCCTAATGATCATTTTGGAATGAACCAACTAAACTAGGAAACGTACCATCGTGATTCAGTGAGAAGGATTTTAGTTGGATGGAAGCAATCAGCCCTCGTCTGCAAGGCGTATCTGGAACCTCGATGAAAGGGATATCCCGCTGGAGATTCAAACTCATATCATTATTACTAGGTCCAATAGATAGTTCAGTAACCTTTTTTTGAGTTTCAGTGGGAACAACATAACTCACTGTGGTGTGCAGATATATCCAGCTGACGAGTCGGAACTAAGACGAAACGCTTATCCGTGATTCTACTGCTATTCACTAAGAAGAATACAATTACAGAATCATTTTTTTCAAGTTTATTTCATTACATACTATTGTCTGAGTTTGATTTGAAAAATTGTCTTCAATTTTACTTAGACAAATCAACTCATCGAATCAGTGAAGATAGCTTACAGTCAGCTAAAATAAAAGCTGCTGAAATCTTGTGTTTATCATTGGATGATTTAGAGAAGCTGACTTTCTTAGAGAAGGATGTTGCTCATGCTGCAAATGATGAAGATAATGATAATGATTGGGATAAAACTATGAATAGGAATGATCTCTATACAGTCATCAGTTCAAATAAACACTTCAATGAAGGTGAAGACACTGTAAGAAGATCAGAAGTTTCATTCTTAGAAAAATTATCTCATTGGCCTGCATACTGTGAAAAGCTACTTAAAGATGTGAGTGGGATCAATACAGAAAGTATTTTTTAATAACACATTTTGATTTTTTTTATTCTTTTTCCGCTTAAAAAACTAATTTTTCTCTATGAAACGGATGCTAAGAAATGTATTTGTCTAAGATGGATTACTGCTCAGTGATTGATTCATGGTTATGGCTGAGTACAGTCGTTAAAGAAAATCATAGAAATAATGAAATTTAGGCTTACAAAAGAGATGTTTATGGATTGTAATTAATTATTAAGAAAATAGTAAATTATCATTTGACTGTCTGAGATAGTCACAGTTTGCCAGAGTAGTATTTATACTAGTAACCTGGTGGTCACTGGTTCGAATCCGACCGTGGTCCAGATTTTCATCTCACCTTCAATCATCACCCAGTATGAAAACAGTAAATGTGAATCTTATAAGTTAGGTGTGTAAGCTTGAAGAATGCAGTAGTTGCTTACCAAACCAACATACATTCTTATCCTTTACAAATAATTTATTCTTGAAGCAGTTTTCATTGTAGATTATCATCGGCTAAAAGAAGTTTTCAGAATACAGGCTTTTCATCCTGATCTGAAAACGTTTATCATCATCAGCAGCAGCAGCAGTAAGTGTCTCTAACACTACGTTGTATAACACACAAGACCTTTAGCTGTAGGAGAAATCATGTTGCTATTTCATCAACCTATTGCAGTTAAACAGTTCAAACTTTTCTTATTCTGTAAGTTTTGACCTAGTGTTAGTATCACCTAATATCATAGGTGGACTTTACTTGAACCGTTTTCTCTGAGATATTCCATTATAGTGGTTGCATAAGTCTTGCGAAAGTTGAAATGCATATATATATTTGAAACTTCATACAATAATGACTGTACAACATCATGTGTGTTTGTTTTTGTCTGTGTGGATTCGCTCAAAATAAAACTAACGTCAGTAAAGTCACACATGTATGTAAAATCCTCATAAACTTCAAACTACTGTATAGTGTTTATTAGTGATGTGCTTCGAGTTGTACATGTCGAAGTTTTAATGAGAAGCCGTGACTTGTGAGGTCAACCAATCAGAAGTGAGGCGGATGCCAACTGAAGACCCTATGCGTTCGGACAGAAGTGGGAAACTGTGAATCATTGAAATCCGACATGGTGGCTGGTTGACTAACGCTTTCATCGCGAAATCTGAAGGTCTTAGGTTCGTTTCGTAGCATGGTGGTGGGTGCGTACTGCAGAGGAGTTCCATACTAGGACAAAGCATCTGACCAGTGTCTCCAAGTTTTCAACGGTCCTTCGGGTGACGTCGGTCCATGATGAATATTACCTTGAAATAAATAAAATCCCCGAAAACCTCAAACTATATACGCATATTTATGGATATTGCTAAACTTTTTCGACAATATGTACATGGATTAGATTTTGAAATGGATTTATACTGGACGTAGATTGTATTTGTGTAAGTCGTCACGAGTTTGAAATCAAACAACTCCAAGGTTTCTCATGGAAATACAATCTATATCTAATGTCAACCTTTTAGGCAGCGGTCAATATTTGTCATACTATCCGATGAAAACCCTAAACCATTTCTAATCGTTTTAATTTAGTTATTTTATCTTTATACTGTCTTACTGCTGCATTGGGTACTGATTTGTTGATATGACTGGAAGTACTTCACTGTTACTATTGGTATTACCAATTAGATATCGTTGATAGTTTGTGAAACGTTTTACTGTCAATTAACGTTTCTTAGACCCATAAATTCAGTAAACCATCTTATGTCAACATTGTAATTTTTTTGGACTAGGTTATCGATCTGAATATCTGAGTGAGATTTGGCAAACTAGTATTTATACTCGTATAATCAACATGATGTTCCCTGTCTCGTATTCAGTTAGATTTGGATTAGAATGAAAAGTTCTGACTAGGCAGCCAGTGTGACTACGGTCAGGCGTCACAAATCCACATGATAGTCGGGAAACACCCTTGGTGATTGAAGTAAAATAAAGATGTGATCAGCAGGCAGGTGACATAGCCCAGTTGGTAGCCCATTGGGCAACAAACCCGGTGAGGGCTGGTTAAAATCCCGCCGCGGTTCAAATTTTCATTTCATCTGGAATCATCACTCAGTACAAATTACATTAGTCACAATCGGTTGAAGTTACTTCTTTGATCACTGAAACAATGGTTGTATAGTGTCCTATTAGTAAAATTTTGAGGCAATGAATTATAGTACACTAGTTAAAAACGTAGAGGTATAAACATCATTTACCCCCCCCCCCCCCAATCTATAAAATTTTAAGTATTCCTATTGCGTTATACACGAACAAAGATTTCAGTTAACCACCTTGTCATTGGCAGTATCATCCTCTACAACTGTACAAACACAATTAAATGAAGTTTGTATGTGTAAGAAAGAAATTTAATTCCTTCACTTTCCTCTCAAATTTCGAGGATTTATACTCCCAACACTTTTGGGAAAGACATCCAACTTCTAAGGTCGATGTTCATAATAAATGAAACCCAGAGAGAGAGAGAGACATTCATAGATAAACATCCCTACCTGTGTAACAAACTAGCTTGAACGTGAGGACAAATATTCACCGATGGCATTTGTTGATGGTTACTTTATATTGGCGAACTGATAGAAGTATGAAAGTATAGGTTACTGGATTCCAACCCGTTGGTTCAACGGTGACATGCTCGCCACGAAACTTGAAAGTTCCGGGGTTTATCCATGGTGGAGTCATCGATAAACATTGCTGACGGGTCCCAAACTAAAACGAAACACATACCCAGTGCTCCCAGGTTTGCAGTCATTCTCCAAATTATGTCAGTCCATGGTGAATACTTTTATATTACTCGAATAATCTTTATTCCAGCATCATTGTCCTAGTCACAAGCTACTAACAATTACTAACATTTTTATGCATACTAAATGTGATTGTACAGCTCCAGAGGATGATATCCCCGAAAATATATTTGTTCACTGAAGTCCTTATTCTTTTATGGATCAATTAAGAAGTACACAAGAGTTTAAAGTCATTTTTCAGAAAGTTATGATCTGCAAACTTCATTCATACTTCTGCGTAGACAATCTCATGATGAATAGAGTGCGAAACTATCAGTTTTCGTGGAAAGCAAGTTACTCATTCAATTACATGGTTTAAACGTGTCCCCTGTTGATAAGTCCACAACTTTGTGACACGGTGCGGACATAACCAATTTCATAAGTCGACATCCACCTAACTCTCGAAACATGACAATCTTGGGCTTGATCCCTCGTAAAGTCTTGGGTGCTCAGTCTCAAAGTAAGACGAAATGCTTGTTGAGTGCTTTTAGGTTATCGGTCGTTATCTAGTAGATTTTAAGGAGAAAAAATGAGTGAAGATATTTTCATGAAGAAAGCATCTCAAGCATGTTGAGCCGAATGATTTCATTTTCAGTCTGTTGGTGGAGGATCAAACCTCAAACAGTGCTGAAGCTATGATTACTTTTCAATATTTTTCAAATTGGCTCACCCCTTACTCTTTCTAAATAATTACAGTTTCTAGTGTTCACGAAAATATCATTATTATTATTATTTTGTCCCTTGGGTTCCTAGTGGAACATAGGGATTCAGTAGCACGTCTCCATTCCACTCTCTTCTCTGAAATCTTTTGAACCTGGCTCCACGACAGCCCACAAGCTCTCACTCCCTCCTCGCACGATCTCCTCCATGTCACCCTTGCCTCGCACGCCCAACTCGTCGTTCCCCATCTGGGTTCCACTCGAGAAATTGGCCTGACACGTGATGTCCCCAGTCAACCTTCTCAGTGTATGCCCAATCCATCTCCACTTCCTGCTACTGCATATTTGTTGGAAGATATGTTCTTGCTTAGTTAGCTCCTTGCCAGTCAGCCGGAGTTCAGTTCCTTGTTGCTCATTCTTTCTGGCAATTCATCTGATCTTCAGTAACGAGCCAGCGTAGGCAGTTGATGATGAATGTGTGTAGTTTGTTGGAAATCGCTTTCGTAATGCGCCAAGTCTCTGAGCCATACAGAGTCACTGATTTGACGTTGGTGTTGAAAATCTGGATGTTGTTGACGCTGTATGCTGAGTGCAATGCAGAAGATCTCCACACTGGTACACACAAATTACTGTTACAAATTCGGCAGAACCAATCAACGTACTTCGTACGAAATACATCCAATTCAACAGGATGATCTGTAAACAAATCGAAGGGACAACCTTGAACTCACCATTACGCGGATTGATCACTGAAGCAGTGATGCAGAGATTAGAATTAATAATCACTCCATTAGTCAAGTCAAACACATGGATTCTGTACGTCGATGACACTTTTGTATTTATCAGGACAAGTGAACCGGAAAACAAGCCCAGTGTCATCAACAGGAACTTCGGCGGTAATCAGTTCACAAAAGAAGGGGGAGAAAGCGACGAAATTGTATTCCTAGATGTTTTTTGCATTACAATACATGATGAAACCTTATACTCCCAAGTGAGTGTACGAGAGAGTGGCACACGCAGATGAAGTTTTGAACCACAACAGTAACAACTCGGCGTCTGGTAAGATGAGTTGAGTGTGAGCAGTATTCACACATGCCACAGTTCGCCTCGCAAATCAGAAGAAAACTGGTGACAATTCAGTCAACTTCATCAAGGGATGCTCATCAATACGACAAGCATCATGACAATCACCTCAACCAAAACAAAACGAATCACTTCACCATACCTCGAAGATATCTCAGAAGCTGCCAACTGACTACTTAGAACATTCAGTGTCAGAGCAGCATACAAACCAACCAAATCCTTGCAGAATACATTATTCAGGTTGAAGGAATATAACACATAGAAGACAAGACGAATGTAATCTACAAATTAGTTGCAAATACTGTCAGCCATATTAGTCATCCCAGCTGTCGAATAGGTTAAAGAATTTATGAACGCCAACTTGCAGTCAAATGACATGATAAATACTCATTGATGTCGATGCATTTAGATGAACAAAAGCACAACTTTGATTGGCACAACATAGGGATACTACAATAAGTGAGCTGAAAAACTGCAAGAAATCCCTGGAAGCATGACACTTCAATCAAACGGCAATCGAACGACACATAGAAATTGACGAAATATATGGACTAACGAAAAGAGATCAACCAACTGGAAGTTCATCAAGTGGATCAGACATCAAATCAAGAGCGAAGGTCAAACAACAGCAACAATCATAAAGGCAAACGGTCAATAAAACGAAGGATATGTCACTTCAACCTATAAGCGAATAATATTCATAAACATTCCTATAACTTAGAAATAGATCAATTCTCTGCGAAGTAAGTGTTGTCGAAATCATCTGGCGTGGTGATCAAACAATCAGAACAAACCTCAAGGCTTGGACATAACAAGACAATTATTATGCTCACCCTGAAGTAGGAATTTCCTCTACTATCTTGAAATCTCTCATGTTTAAAAGCTTGCCTACGTATTAGCTTTAACACTGAAACCTTATTTCCGTTGGATTTCAGTCAGTTAGGTATTAAAATGCTGATTATCTGTTTAGTAGAGCAATGTAGATTGACTGTGTAACATGCTTTTATTTTCTTGTCACACTAGTAACGAAATCACCTAAAGAAATAAATGGAAATGAACTAAACTTTCGGTTCATTGTCTTAACCATTTGACTTCCAATTGATGGGTCACGGTTCTGAATACATCTCCATCTACCAGGCAAGACTTGTGCAGATAGTATTGTTAGGCTTTACAAAATAAGTGTGGTTTATTGCCTACCTCAGAGTATGTGATTAAGGTTGTTGAATAGATTTCGATTTCAATATTGATGTTGGGTCAATTCAGTGAATAAGCCCACTGGGTTAACAATACGCATAAGCAAAGAAATAAGTTGCTTTATGAATGAAATTTACCTAACTCACACTATAACAACTTTTATGGTTTTAGGTATCTTATCTACTTGCCTTTTTTTTGCTTCTGTTTACTTCGGCAGTTTCCATTTTCAAAGAAAGTGAAGGAGGAATTTCTAAGAAGATTTAATGATCTAGTGGAAATATTTACCACGTCTTTAAATGCCAAAGGCACTATGAAAGGATAAATTTTCATGAATTTTTTGTCACCTTTTTAATTCGCTCAAAATTGTTTAACATTCAGGCATTCGATTCAATAATGGTGTCAACTGGATTTGATGATTTGATGAATAAAAGGCTTCGTGAAATGTTTGAATTTTTTCATTAATACTTTTGCTACTCACGAGTAGTTCATAGTTTATTTGCTAATTAATTTACTACTTTTACAAACCAAGGAAGTTGAGAACAATACCTTTGGCAGAAGAATGGGTATCTGTAGTAATTCAGCATTTCTCACCAGCCGCATAAAGGATGGGAAAATCCTGTTGTAGGAATATGTGAGCCGAACTCTATCCTAGACCTAGGGTTAATATATTCCAGTGACTTGACTTCTTCCGAACAAGTAGCTTATAGCAGAAGTAAGTCACACAGTCTCTTACGATATGTCATTTGTAATTCCTATAGCGCTGAATCTAGGTGCATATTCGTCCAATTTGAGAATACTGCTTGTTTATTTCAAGTGACCTCCGTATGAGGGACAAACTTAAAACCAAAGGGGTAGTGCTTCACTTTACATTAGGAATTCTAGGAGCTGACTGTAACTTAGACTACTTCTCCAGATGTAACATGTTAGGGCTGGAACCTTTCTGGAGGATGTGACCTGAACTGAACCTTGTATTTTGCTGTAAGTTAGTGCGAGAGGCCAGGAAATCAAACCAGTTGTGGCATCTACCTATGATAATCACTAGCTGAAACCAAGCCTAGCTCTAGAGGCCTGCGAAGAAATTTCTTCAATGAATTTTCTCGTACTTGAGAGAGGTTTCCAGAAGAAATCCGTACTGCGAGTTCCTTGTCTTAGTTTTGAGTCCCACTTAATAGGTCCCCCATAAATGCTGAGTCTTCTACCAGCTTAGTCTCTACCTACATATTCTGGCCTGTTGAAAATATACTTGAACCTCTCAATGTATAAAATTAGATTACCATAGTCTCCTCCACTTTAAGGCATTTGCGAAATTTTACATAAGCTGCGGGAGTTCAAATTTAATTGCTCATTGTGGGCAATGGGAAAAGTGAAAATTCTCCCAATGTATACTAGCATTTCCCCCTAACCACAAAAGCACCATATATTTAAAATAAGCATTCAAACACTAGGATAAAAGAATAGAGGAATTGCTTTAGTATGCATAAACCAATGTTCATGATAAATTGAAGTAGATCTAAATGGCATAGGAATTTCTGTCTTCTCCAAGTTATTTAGCTTGGTAAAATCTTGTCCAGATTCTGCTTGCACTTTTCCTTTCCCTCTTTTCAGCATCGATTTGATGAGAGTATCTTAAGTTCCATTTGTTTCATGAAATACCAACTAACTAGAAATACTTAGTCCGTGAAATTAGGGACTGTAGAAACTTTGAACTGAACTGCCCTAAACATTTCACTGTTTCTTGAATATTTCAAAAAGAAAACCACCTGCTTATCAATGCTCTTAAAACGTCTGTGTACGAAAATACTCGTGAAATGTTTGAACTGACTGGTGACAGTAGCAGTAAAAATCAAAAAGCTGAATTTGCCTAAAAACTCTAAATACAGTTTCTCTCCAGTTCTACCACACGATTGTTCTTGTAGTGCCATATATCATATAACCTGATTAGAAGTAAGGCAACATACCGTGACTATACTTCTTGAATAATACTTCGTAATACAGCATTAAAAGTATGGAAAGTTTGTCTCTATCCATCACAACAGCTGATCCCAATAGAATAAGTCTGCAATTCAGACGAATGGTTCAAACGGTTGTTGACGGGATATAAGAAGCTTTAGTTTAACTGACTTCCGTGTCTGCAACCCATGGATCACTACTTTTTGTGGTTATTAACCTGTGTTCAAGTTAGAAAAAAATAAAAAGTGGCGGTTAAAATGTGGAAATTCAGTTAATCCTGAGCAGATCCCACGCACGTCTGAAGTATTTATCAAGCCAGCGTTTGAAAAATTCAGACGGAGTAGCATTTCATGGTCTAACAACTCTTAGGGAATAGAAATTGTGTCCGATTTCTAACCCGCCATATTGTAGGCTTAGTTTCTGTATGTGTCCTCCAAGATACTGCTGCAACTAAGATTCAATAAGTGGCGGAGTGGGCATCCAGAGGTGCTCGAAACGTTATGAGCCACTATCAGGTTTCCTCTAAGCCCTCCATATTCTAAGGGATATAGATCAAGGGCAACCAGCAGTTCTGAGTCTCCGTAAACAACAAAGGCAATCAATGAATCCTATCGGATTTCTCCAAGAGAGAATCTTAAGAGACCTTCGAAGGTAACTGCTTAAATTACCGTGCTTATGAAATCTGAAGAAAAGCTTACAAGGCTTTCAGAACCACATCCGAGGATGTCCTGCCGACGTCCAGTGTGATCTTCTGGAACGCTGAAGAACAAGTGGGCAGTGATCCTTAAATACGCCATGAGCATGATCTGAGGTTATTCCAGTCGGCCATCAGAAATATCGCACCTGAAACACCTAAAGGAGTGTACATCTCTAAGTAGTCAGGTTAGGGGAAAAGGGAAGAAAAATCCGATGAGAGAATGACTTTTAAGGTTGCTCTAGGTAACAAAAGGGAAATGAATGTACTGCTGAATAATCAGCCCAGACTACAAAATTCGGACATTCACACCGAACATAACTGGCCTTTTGAGGACTGGATAAAAAGAGGAGAATCGATCGCTAAACATAAGGCTTGGAAAATAGTGGGGAATACAACCTCAAAACTGTGAGCTTTCGGGTTGCGAGGTCATGCAAACGAATATTTCCAGTTCCTGTATGGGTGTGTAGCGTCACACACTTCCCAAAAATCAATAGCCTAGGGTTTGACGACTTTCGACATTGATGCTGACCTTGATGGTTTAACTGGACTCGCTAAGCTGAAGGCACCCGGTCAAGCATCCTCGCCATTTGGCACGCTGTCGTATTATGTTGCGCTGCTCGCATTCGACTCTCTAGCCAGCTAGTTGGAACGCATTGCTATCTTGGCACAGCCATCCAAATATACTATTCCATCCGACTACGCTATCGTGTTCTTCCTTGGTCTCGTACTCGTGGGTATATAACAAGTCCGAATAATTAGTGATTGGTCTTTGCGTCTGTCAAGTTCGCACCAGGACAAGTCCTAAATTGGTGAGCCCGACGTGATCACATATCCAGACCAATAACAAATATTGAATTGGTGAGCCTGTTACATTTCATATTTGTTTATTGTTTTCATTTCGACAACACTTATATATCCATTTACTGCACTTTCTCATGTCCGACCACACTCCCAAGCTTATTCGTATTAAGCCGAATACGAACACTATCCAACTCGTGCCATATTGGCCAGACAATGTAGACACATGGTTTCTGTGTGCCAAGGCAGATTTTCGAGGACAGGGCATCTCAGATCCTCATTCTCGATTTCTCGCCGTCACACGTTTGCTACCGTGGGAATTAAATACACATGTTACGGCACACATGTTTAGTCCTGAAGTGAGTGATCCTTATGCACTTTTCAAAGCCGCACTCCTGAAGAAAAGCGATCTGACAGATCGCCAGAGCCTAGATGAATTACTTCGTAACATCAAGCTAGGCAGCTACTCAGCTACTGAAGTCCTCGCACGCATGCGTGAAGTAATCGGAACACGAACATTTGGCAGTGGCCTCTTCCGAGAACTATTTCCTTCGAAACTACCACAACCGGTGCAAACCGTGTTGGTGACACTGCAGTCAGTCCCACTCGATGACCTGGCAGCCTCGGCAGATAAAATACTGGAGATTTCCAGCAGACCCGTTTCCAACGTATGTTCTGTCTGCGACAAACCAGAGCGCCGGGATTCAGAGGTGACAAAGCTGTGCAACTCTGTTAAGCAATTGCTACGATCTCGAAGTCCTAGTTCACGTAGCACTTCACACAAACGCACCTTGGCGCATCGCAGCAACTCGCGTGGTTGCCCCAAAACTAAACCTAACAGGGTGGAAAACCCTGAATGGTGCTGGTTTCATAATACTTACGGAGACGAAGCCAGAAAATGTCGGAAACCTTGCAGTTTTAACAAGGATATAAACTCGGGAAACGGCCACACCGAGACGTGGTCGCGGCAACTGTAGCCGGCGGAAACAGCCGTTTGCTCTACGTCACCGACATTAAAACGAAAGTTCGCTGCCTCGTCGACACCGGCACAGAAGTTAGCGTTCCTCCCGCACCGACAAAGGAGCGTCATCATGACCCATCCTTCAATCTCCAAGCAGCCAACGGCAAGGCAATCGCGACATTTAGGAGGCGGTATGCCTACCTTAACTTAGGTTTCCGTAAACCTATCCACTGGATCTTCCTCCTGGCTGACGTTTCTATGCCCATCACTGGCATAGATTTGCAAAATCATTACGATCTACCCGTAGATGCTCGCCGTTGACGTCTGATAGATAACAATACAAAGATATCTGTTGGCGACACTACCTAAGTAGGTCCGAGTTTAGCCATCGTTAGAACAAAACAATCAAGCGACACGTCCTACCAGGCAGTTTTGGAGAAATATCCAGAAATATACCGTCAAACAGTCCTTGGGCATCACCACTGCACATGGTTCCCAAAAAGGATAGCAACGACTGGCGCCCAACCGGTGACTGCCGAAGGCTTAACGCCAAAACAACTCCGTACCGCTACCCGATACGTCACGTCTACGATTTGACTGCAACACTATGCGGAATGAACATTTTCCCCAAAATCGATTTGGTCAAAGAGCACAAAAAGATATCTATGGCAGCAGAAGATATCTCGAAAGCAGCAATTGTTACTCCTTTTGGTTTGTTCCAATTCCTGCGCATGCCATTTGGTATTCGGAATGCAGCACAAACATTCCAACGCTTTATTGATGGTGTCCTCCGTGGTTCGAATTTTGTTCACGTCTACATCGATGACTGTCCAATTGCGAGTCCAGATAAGGAAACTCACCTTAAACATTTGGACCTCGTTTTCGAAAGACTTAAAAACATGGCATCACAGTCAAC